CCAGTGGGGCAGGGGCCTGGCTTTTGCTGAGGGTGGGCTGAGATAGGTGGGCCGGCTGTGATCCCTCCCTGACCTCCCAGATCCTGACACGGACTCTGACAGTGACCTGTCCCTGGAAGATGACCAGAGTGGCTCCTATGCCTCTACTCACTCATCAGACAGCGAGGAGGAGGAAGAGGAGGAGGAGGAGGCCGCCTTCCCTGGCGAGCAGGGCTGGGACAGCCTGCTGGGGCCTGGAGCGGAGAGACTGCCCCTGCACAGCACTCCCAAGGGTGGGCCAGCACCAGGGCTGTGGCCTTTGGGAGGCTGTGGGAGCCCAAGAAGCTTGGGCTTCTTGGGAAGCAGGAGTCGGGTGGTGGCTCTCCTAGCTGTCTGCTCTTTCTAGGCCTCATCTATTTCCTTTTCCTGCCAGATGGGGGCCCAGGGCCTGGGAAGGCCCCCTGGCCAGGAGACTTTGGAACCACAGCAAAGGAGAGCAGTGGCAGTGGGGCCCCTGAGGAACGGCCACGGGAAAATGGAGATGCCCTGTCTCGGGATGTGTCCTTGGGCTCCCTTCCAGGCTCTTCTGCCCAGCCTCACAAAGGTGAGTGGGGCATCCCCAGCTGCCATTTCCCCTGGGTCAGCAGCCTTAGGCTTCACAGTACCCTCTGATTCTGGGGCTTTCTGAGGCAACGCTGTTCCTCCCACCTGCATCTCATCGTGCTGCCTTCCTGGCTCCCAGGCATCCTCAAGAAGAAGTGTCTTCCCACCATCAGTGAGAAGAGCAGCCTCCTGAGGCTTCCCCTGGAGCACGGCACGGGCTCTTCTCGGGGTTCTTCAGCCAGCGAAGGCAGCCGGGGTGGGCTCCCTCCCCGCCCACCTCCCCGGCAGAGTCTGCAGGAACAGCTGAACGGTGTAATGCCCATCGCCATGAGCATCAAGGCAGGCACGGTGGATGAGGACTCTTCAGGCTCCGAGTGAGTGGGCCAGGAGGGTGGGACAGGGTGCCACTGCAGAGGTCCCAGCTGGGGAAGAGCTGCTTCTGCACCTCCCCCGGCTAGCTGGTTGACAGCCAGAGGACGGATGGGCTGAGCATGGCCCAGTTTCCTAAGTGTCCCATGGTGACCCGGGGGTGGTGGCAGTCCCCCCTGGGCTTTATACGGTGCAGCCCAGCCCAGGGCAGCAGCGCAAGGGTGGAGGGGAGCTGGGGCTGCTTTTCTGTTTCTTCCTTCTGGTGAAACTTCTGTCTCCTGCTCCAGCTAACCCTGTCTGCCTTCTCTGCCACTCTCCTTTCCTGCCTCTCCAGATTTCTCTTCTTTAACTTCCTGCATTAACCCTGGGCCGGTGGTTCCTTCGTCCCGAGGCTCCCTTCCCCTCCCCAGCTGCACTCATGCCCCCACTCCTGTCTTGTGCTTTATCCTGCCCCTGCTCCCCACCGCCTGCCTGCAGCAGCGACGAAACGTCCATCTGAGGAGCCTGGGCCTTGCACCTAAGGCCATCTAGTGCCAACTCCCTTCCCCACCATTCCCCTCACTGCACTTTGGACCCCTGGGGCCAACATCTCCAAGACAAAGTTTTTCAGAAAAGAGGAAAAAAAGAATTTAAAAAGGATCTCCACTCTTCATGACTTCAGGGATTAATTTTTTTTATACGCTGGAAACTGACTCCCCTTTCCCTTCCCAAAGAGGATAGGACCTCCCAGGATGCTTCCCAGCCTCTCCTCAGTTTCCCATCTGCTGTGCCTCTGGGAGGAGAGGGACTCTTAGGGGGCCTGCCCCTCATTTGCCATCACCAAAAGGAAAGGACAAAGCCACACGCACCTGGGGTGTCAGACCCTGCAGGCTGCACCGGGCAGGCCTCAGTTGGTGAGGGGTCAGGGCAAAGGGCGTTCCTTATCCGCCCGTTGCTGCCTCTCCCAGGAACTGAAAAAGCCCTGTCCGGCCAGGGGCAGAAGGACTCATCGCCCCTGGACCCCCAAATGCTGCATGAACACGTTTTAAGGGGAGCCTGCGTCCCCAGGCGGGGGCCGGCTGCCCCAGCCCCTCTCCTTTTCCTGGACTCTGGCCACGTGCTGTAGCCCAGGTGTTTGCTCAGTTTGCTGACCCCAAAGTGCTTCATTTTTCCTGCCTGACCCTTGACCCGCACCTGGGGAAGGCCAGTCGTGTGTTAAGTTGCGCTTCTTTGCTGTCATGTGGGTGGGATTGGGAGGAGGAGGAAGCACAGAGCTGGCTCAATTGCCCAAAGGGCCTCAAGCACAGATATGAAGTCTGGGTTCTGGTGTCCACCCACCCACTCTCCCCAAATCAGACAAATGCCACTTTGTCTGACCTGCTGTGGCCTCTGAGACATGTTCTATTTTTAACCCCTTCTTGGAATTGGCTCTCTTCTTCAAAGGACCAGGTCCTGTTCCTCTTTGTCCCTTATTCTACCCCAGCTCCCTGTGAAGAGAGAGTTAATATATATTTTTTATTTATTTGCTTTTTGTGTTGGGATGGGTTTCTGTCCGGTCCCAGGGGGTCTGATGTGGCCATCGCAGGTTGGGTATGTACCCAGCAGCCCTGGCTTTGGGGCCTAACGCCCTTCCCCTCGCTCCATTTCTTCCCCTCAGTTTTGCCAATCGCTATTCATTTTGAGTCACCCTTTAAGCATGTATTTCAGACTTGTCACTGACTTTCCTTCTGGAGCAGGTGGCTAGAAAAAGAGGCTGTGGGCAGGAAAAGGTGTTCCTGTTCTTCACCTGGAAGGCTGGCCTCTGGTTTTTCTGCCATGTATTCTCCTCCTGCCCTCTGCCCTTTTCCTCAGCAATTCCTGCAAAGGGTTAAAAATTTAACTGGTTTTTACTACTGATGACTTGATTTAAAAAAGAAAAAAAATACAAAGATGCTGGATGCTAACTTGATACTAACCATCAGATTGTACAGTTTGATTGTTACTGTAAATATGGTAGAGTTTTGTTGTTGTTGTTTTTTCCATTCCCCATACCACTGAATAAACTAGTTCTGTGCAGGTAGTGTGCTGTCATGTGCTTCCATGTGGTCCCCTGTCCTCTTAGAGGATGGACGCCTGGGCTTTGGAAAGCAAAAGATCAGAAAGGGCCTGGAAAACCCCAGCAGGAAATCAGGCCTCCGATACCAGTCTTCTGAAAAACGTGCCCATCTATGGATCTCCTCAACAATGTTCCCCAAGAACCTCATCAGCACAGAGCCCAAGTCCTGGCATTTCTAAGGAACATGAAGCGGGTGGGAAAGCACGTCCTTTTCATGAGGGACTTGAGTGGCTGGAGAAGTGGCACAGAGAGGGCAGGTTTCTAACTTCAGGACTGAGTGCTCAACAGAGACAAGTTTCCTAGGGCAGAATTCAATAGAGAGAGTCAAGATGAGTGGCAGGTAGGAATTTAAGAGTGCTCAGTGATTAGATAAGTCCTGACTCTATCATTCTGAGCCTTTTTCCACTGGAAAATGAAGCAACTTCTCATACTGGACCTAAGTATGTGCTCTGCAACATTACCTCTAATCCCACATTTGTGTTTTTCAAAGGTTCATTCAACAGACTAGAAAAGGAATTAACATGGGGCACCATAGGGTAGCAATTAGGAACACAAATGCTGGAACCAGACTGAGTGACTTAATCTCTCTGAGCCTTCGTTTTTCTGCCTGCAAAATGAGGATGATGATAACAGCAGCCACCTAATTGAGCTTTTATGAGGATTAAATGAGTTAGCACATATAAAGTGCTTAGAACAGTTCACAGTACATAGCAAGAGGCCAATAAACACTGGCTTGTCTTGTTGCTACTGGGGTGGAAAGGGAAGTGAAAGGAGAATGCACAGACAGAAAGACAGGCCAAGGGAAGGAAGTAAGCAGTTAGCTGAACAAGAGGGTCAGCTGCAGCAGGTATGCCAACTGAATGCTGCTTAGTTGTAGTGGAAGGACTGGGGGTGGGGGCAAAACATTAAGATTGACCCAGGGTGTGAACAGAACATGTGTTTCCTCTCTAGCCACCAGGGGGCAACAGCACACAGGTCTGCTGCCTGTTTTGCCTCTAATGACCCAAGGAAGGTTTGGCTCACACAAAGGTGCCGCCTGCTGGTCATGGCTGTGCGTGTCCCTAGGCTTGCTGAAGGTGCCAACAGGATCTGCTCCCTAGACACAAGGCAGGCAGGAAGCTGGGGAAACACACCTGAATTTTTTTTTTTTTTCTTTATGCTGAATTTCTCCAGAACAAAAAACTTGATGTCAGCCTCCTTGCCTCTCCCGCAACATCGGTTCTTGGAATTTCAGGGGTTCTAGGAGCTGCTGCAAGCTCAGGGAAAAGTTAGTGTCTAAGCAGCTGTCATGGGGATGTAGGTGGATGTGTTAAATTAACCTTAGGATCAGCCACAAAAAGGGAAAAGCAGGGACAAGGAGGAGCACTTAAAGTTTAAGTAGGGCACTTACGGCATACAGGCACAAGCAGGGACACCAGTTGGCAGTCCCATTTTCTTCTGCCCAGTGGCCTGCTGCATTTCTTAAGTCATGACCTTGCCTTTGAAGAAGGAAGTTCCTTTAAAATTCAAAATGAACTGAGTTGGTTCTGGTTGCAAGAGTCAAAGGCTTTGGGGCTGGGGCTGTAATTCAGTAGCAGAGCCCTTGTCTAGCATGTGTGAGGCACTGGGTTGAATCCTTAGCACCACATAAAAATAGAATAAAGGCATCCTGTCCCTCTACAACTATTAAAAAAAAAAAAAAGAGTCAAAGCCTGCAAAAAGTGGGAGACCCTAAGCTGTTAGGGGGTCCTTATCATTTATTCAATAACTACCATCTTATACCTTATTTATTTAATATTTATTTTTTAGTTTTCAGTGGACATAACCTCTTTATTTTATTTTTATGTGGTGCTGAGGATTGAACCCAGCGCCATGGGCATGCCAGGTGAACGCACTACCGCTTGAGCCACATCCCCAGCCCAGTATACTTTGTCACTTATTCAAAACATTTTCTAAATAAATGAATGAAATGCTCTGTTACATTCAAGTCACAATATTAGGGCACTGCGGAAGTTTATAAATTCTGATCCTAGCTCTCAAGTCCAGTAGGGGAGATGAGAGGACAGACAACTCAAATGATGTGAAGTGCAATATGACAAGGTGTCCCAGCATCTTCTGTCTGAGGCGATCAGGGAAGCTGAATGTCACCAAAGGAACTTCTCAACCCATAAGTTCAGCAGACAAGGAGGCTCCATTGTCTTGACAGAAAAGGACATTCAAGTTTAGGATATGAATAACAATTTACCTAGATCCTAGCATAACTGCCTCATGTGATTTAAGCTACACTTATCTTTGACCTGGACCTTCTAATAATATCTGAATCTACAGAAAGACAGCTTGTTCCCATCAAATGCCAACAAGAGGGGTAGTTACTGCCGGATGAACTAGAAGCTCAAGGCCCTAGGACCTACTTAGGCCCCTGCCTGGGAGGTCTATCTCCGCTTTCTCAATAGAATTACACAGAGGTTTACAACAAATTTATTAGAAATTGGAGCAGAATTTACTTCCAGATATATAGGAAATTTAAAAAAAATACATTCATTTTATTTTAAAGAAACATAGAGTAAGCTTATCATCAACTAGCCTATGAGGAGTCACAGAATTCACAGGAAACAAATTCTGGAGACCAGATGCCTGCCTTGCCTCTCCAAACAGGCCTGAGTCCAGTAGAGGATGTGATTCAGGAAGACCTATCCTCAGAGAGCAGAAGCTGGCTACAGAGGCCATTCACATGGACTCATCCACTGAACCAAGGCCTGGGAAGAAGATCAAATTCTCTGGGGCTGACCGCAAGAGTGGGGGTGGAGAACACAAGCAATTTGCCAGAATTCTTCATTTTCTTTTTTGCTAATTTCATTGCTATGAGGTCACCTCTTTTCTCTTCATCTTTTTTTCAGCCCAGAGAGTTTGAATCTATTTCAGTAAAACTCAAATCCACCCCATCTCCTATGGTCTATATTCCTGGGGGGTTATCACCCTGGTGGCATGTCTTTCTCCTGTCCCTGGGCCAGAATCTGATGGAATCAGGGCCTGCTATTATAAATGAATCCAAGCAGTGACTGTAGTGGTTTGCTACTGAATTCTTGCTCATCGTCTTGATTTCTTTATCTGAAGAAACAGAAGAACGAACTGTTTTAAAAGTGCCCATCCTCATTTAGCTCACCTGTCACCCCTCAAGTTCAAGCTCTTCAGGGTGGGAAGAAATAGGACTCCCTGTTCCTGGCTCCCTTCCTGATCACCCCTTCTCTATATAGAATTCTGGACTTCTGTGCACAGTAGCTTGGAAGCCCAGGTGATGGGTGCAGAGAGACCAGCCTTACCTGGTAGGTCCAGGGACTGCAATTTTCCTGGGGGGCTGCAGATTGCTGCGAGCAGCACCAGCAGCAGGAAGGTTTGGTCGCTGGGAAATAGGAACTTGATAGGGGTCAACAAAAGAAATGTGTTAGCAGAAAGTTCAACTGACCTTCTCAAAAAAGAAATATTGGATGAAGCCAGAGTGCCCCCCCCCCACCTCTGTCAAGGGAAAAAATATGAGGTACTTGGAAACCAAGCCTGAGACTCTCTACTGGGCCCCACATTCTCTGCTTAACTCAGTCTCCTCATCTTCAAACGGAAGATGTCAAAAGTAGTCATTGCCAGCTCTGGGAGGATGAGGTCACCCTGGGCCAAGTTAGGTTTTCTTCCTCCTGATTTTGTATCCTTATGTTCACTCTTTCTCACCTCTGTGCCCTGCAGTGCTTGGTCTTAGAGGCCCTTTCCGAGTTGACACAGAATCCGGAGGGAGGGCACCTTTGCCAGGTGGTACACTCCGGCTGGTGAGTGGCATTCGGCTAGAGGGCCTGGGAATAGCTGAAGGAAGAGGGAGTCGACTGGAAGCCTTAGTAGCTGTCCCCTGTGGCCGAGAATGGCGTTGAGAGTTGCTGGTTGAAGGCTGTGGGGCCAAGGCTTGTCTGACATGGGTAGGTGGCCCTGTTATAAAGGAGTAGAAGCATTTCAAGGTAAGTTTTACTTCCTCCTTACCCCCATCACCCACAGCTTTGCTGCCCAGTCTCACTTGCTGTTGCCCTTGCATTGGGCCCAGCCTTGCCCCGGAGTGGAGGAGTTGATTGTACAAGAGGAGATGATGCTGGGCTTTTGGATGCAGGCAACAGATTGCAAGTGGGTGATTCCTGAAAGAGAGAGAGAGAGACATGGAAAAGGGGGGGAGGGGAGCTAGAATGTAGAACATATTGGTTCTGCTGGCATAAGGGATTAAGGACTAGAGAGGCAGGGAGCTATCTAGATCCCAGTGAGGAAAAGCAGAAGCTAGCTGCCAACATCATCAACACCATCATTACCATCAACACCACTTTTATTGAGAGCTTATTATAATCATTAGCCTCTACATTGTAGTATAGCACTTTCCCAATGTATCTCATTCAATTCCAATTCTAGAGGCAGAATTACTATTCTCCTTTGACCAATGAGGAAACTGTTGTGCCTTCAACATGTCATGCACTATGTCTAGGGGTGCACATGCCACTCAGCCCTCCAAACTCACCCTCTTCACACTGGAGGGCCTCTTTCCAGGTGTTACTCTAAGAGCCCTGGCTGACCCCTTCTTATCACTGCTCCGGAGCCGAGGTGTCAGGCTGCTTGGGGAGGGTGTACTCCAAGCCAAAGAGCTGACATTGGGTAGCAGGTCTCGGACAGGGCTGTCCTTCAGCACAAAGGTCTCCCGTCGAGGGCTGGGCTTCCCTCGGAGAGGCCCTGGGCCCTGACCTGAGCTCTCCCGATCCTGTAGGGCACACTGCTCCAACTGAGCTGCCAGCCGGTTGGCTTCATCGAGGATCTCTTCCAGCTTCTCTGGACTGAGAGGGCCTAAGCTGAACCTCACACCCTGGGGTGCAGGGGCCACTGCATTTGGGTCACTTCGGTGGGAGAGGCCCCGTCGGAGTGGTTTCTCTGGAGTCACCAATACTGCTGCATCTTCCTCCTCACGACTGAGACAGAAAATAAACAAGGCACCAAGACCACACAAAAAAGGAGCAGGGGACTGTGCAAGACAGGCCAAACAAAACTCCAAACTAACATCCATTCTGGCTGTGAGACCTGGCCTCTAGGTGATGAGATACTTGGTTCTCTGAGCTCTAATAGGCCTTTAGCATTTACTGACATTGGGAGGATGAAGATGCAACAAATCCATGTGCACTTCTTAACAGCCCTGAAAAATCACTTGTTTCTCCTTTCCCTTCCCTTACCAATAGTGTCCTAACAGCCCCAGTGCTTCAAACTTTGCTAAATTACCAACGCTGGCTCTGGAGGCCAATAATTCAGCAGTAAGGCCAAAGAGGTGTTATTGGAGGGAGATAAATAAGATAAAGCAGTTGGTACCTGTCAGATGGGGACAGACCTCCAAAGTCCAAGGTCTCATCCACAATAAACTTGACATCTGAAGGGGAAAGCAGAATGAATGCCAGCCACTGGTCCCTGCTTGAGGCGGCTCTCGATAGCAAGGCCTCATTCGTCCCTCCAGGGCTTCCTTACCTTCCTCCAAACCCTCCATGTCCAATCAGCAGGAGCGAGTGAGCTTAGACCTGAACTGGAGAGAAAATATACTTTTCCTTCAGGTATCCATCCTGCCCCAGGTTCCCAGTTATTCTTGGGATGCAAGCCAGGGACTGGAGACATGTTGCAGAAGCACACGCCCCTTTAACTATCCGCGATACCTACCGGAAAGTTGCAGAGAGCTCCCCCACTCCCACCAGATGGCCCTCCCACCCCTCTAAGCCCTTGGACTCACTGGGGAAGGTCTGCGTGCCCCGCCTTCCACCCCGCCACTATCCTTCGGGTTTTTCCTCTCATAAGCCACCCTTCCACTCTCGCGGCACCACACGGGAACCACACCTCCCGCCCACCCGCAGTTTCCACTTCCCGTCCCAACCTTACCTTCCACTAAGAAGCTTTCTTTCCACAATCTAGTCCCGGGAATCGGCTCCCAGAGGGCGGGGCTCCTTTCGAATTTCTCAGGACCCACCCACTTCTGCCACATGCGCACGGTGATTGGCGATTCTCAAGGGGCGGGGCTATGACGGACAGCCAACCGAAAGCCTACCGATGGGGTCGAAGGTGGGATGGGTAGGAGAGGCGTTCCCAGGAAGACTCCAGCCGCGAGGGGGAAGCTGGGCTGAGAGAGGAGGCCGCGAGTGCGCGCGCTACCCTGGAGCCCCTCCTAGGCTCATAGACCTAGAGCCCTGCGCAGGAGGGCCCGGCAGGGGCGGAACCTCGTGGCGGCGCTTGAGGGAACGGGCCAATGAGAATGGGCTTTGCGCCCCGCCCATCCCCTCTTCCCCTCCCTCTCCTCCTCCCGCGGAGCCGAGGAGAGCCAGGGTTGGTAATTTAGCAAAGTTTGGGTTCTCCGCAGAGGCTGCTCCAGAGAACCACGACAGGCCCTAAAACTACTGCTCTGCGGAGGGGAATTCGTTTCCTTGGGCGCATTGTGCAAACTCCTTGTTTGCTGAATTTCATTTCTTGTGATTTTTTGATTTGTAGATGAAGCCCCCCCCCCCCCCAAATAGGATGGCCACCAAGGAAGCACTTTTAAGTATATTTTATATTTTAAGTATATTGAGGTTCTCAAAGAAGTACATCCTCCATTGCTAACTCTCTTCCTTCCCACACTGGATTGAACCCTGGGGCGCTTTCACTGAGCTGTATCTCCAGCCCTTTTTAAATTTAAGTTTGAGACAGAATCTAAATTACCTAGATTAGCCTCGAGCTTGTGATCCTTCTGCCTCAGCCACCAAGTGTAACTGAAGTTTTTAGACGTGCACCATGGCGTTCGGACCTGTGGATTGAACCCAGGGCCTTGTGCATGCGAGGCAAGCACTCTATCAACTGAGCTATATCCCAGCCCCCTCTGATCTCTGATTTTTTTTTTTAAGCAAAAACAATCGGAACCTCAGGTAGCCAAGGTTTTCAGAAAACAACTGGCTTTTTACCCAGGGAGATTTGGGTTCAAATGTAATAATGACTCCTTTTACAAGCAGGGCAGGATTGAGTATATTTGCCCTCTTGGGTCTCCTGTTCGCTTGAGAAATGAGGAAGAATTAGAAGGATAATTATCAGCATCAAGTTTTATATGTTGTGCCCACAGATTGTGAGGGGGTGTTTGTAATTAGCTACCTCGGAACTAAAAGCTGTGTTTATAAACTAACTGCTTTAGCTTACTTACTAGGGGATGTTGGCTAAATGTTGCAAGTGAATAAGCTGGGCCACCAGTTAACAGAACTTCTTAGAAATGTTCTAAAAATTTAAAAAGTGAAAAGCTCCTAACCATGGTTGTGGAGCTTTCCTGTAAACAAAGAGCCTGAGTCCTTAGAGTTTATAACCATTGTTTTTGCTTTTTTGTTTCCTTCCTAAGTTCTAACTGTAAATTTGAAGTGGTGAGGTCTGTAGGAGGGATATGTAATAAATACCTCAAGAAGCAAAGGAGCCTTGGAATTTTAGGGAAGTGATAAGGGAAAAGGTGGGAGGCCCAGAACTTTCAAATTTATGTGAGGAAGAGCACAGAAAAAGAGATTACCTCTTTCCGCTGATGCAGATGTTAGGTAGTAGCTAGCAAGAGCAGTGAAATGCATGGTAAGGTCATAAAGTGTTCTGTAAATTATTTCAAGGTTCTTCTTTATGATAAGGTTATAAAGTGTTCTTTAAATTGCTTTAGTGTCCTTCTTTAAACCATCTTAAGAAATCAAATGGTGGCAGTTAATCTGTAGAAAACAATCCAAAGCAAGGGAACTATTTGTAAAACACTTCAAGAGAGAAGGATTAATGGGACTAACTCTTGACAGGATCTACTGAGGTTTATGTGAAGATAGGAATTATGTTTATAAGTGTCTTCAATTGTCTGGGAAGGAAGATTCCCTCCTTCCCCAGGTACACTAAGGTAACTTCTGATCAGCTATTGACCCCAATGCCCACATTAACATGGGATTGACTTGTAGATGAAGCCCCTCTAAATAGGATGGCCACTATAACTGAGGATACACTAAGGGCAAAAACTCCACCACCCAACATGAAGGAGGATTTGAATACCCAGTTGGTGAAAATTGCTGCAGGAGGACCCCAGTTCTCAAGTTAACTTGTAAAACAATAAATTTGGGGACAGCCTTATCTCTTATGTTGCTCTCAGTTTGGAGAAAGCCTACTCTCCCTTGAGAGTGCTTTCTGCTTAAGCCTCACTTTACTTTTACTTTACTTTCGCTTATAATAAAGTTATCTTATATAACTTTTGGTGTCTGACTTTAAATTTTCTTACATTGAAACACAAGAAGTGAAGTTTGGAGTTTCAGCTCCTTACTTTCTTGTGACAGAGATGACATTTTAAAGTTGCTTGCAGGATTCAAAGTCTATGGGGGTGGAAAAGCCAGTCAGTAGCTTCATCTCCCAGGCAAGTAGCAACAAAGATTAGAGGAGAAAGAGCTGTTAGTAACAATGTTCTTTATCCCCAAAAGCAACCTGAGTAGGGGACTCTACACTTTAAGTTTTAGCAAATTGTTAGTTTCTCCTAAGGAAACTCCCTCAATTTTCTGTCTCCAAATTATGATCTTGAAAACTGTTACAGTTCATAAAGAAAAACAAAAACTAAATAAACAAAACCCCAGTAAAACTACTTTTTCTCTACCAAAATGAAAGCAAAGCCAGAAAGTACAGATTTCAGATACAAGAATTCTTCATGTAGTATAAGGAAAATATTTGATGTTTGTTCCCCTCTCTTGAACCCTAAAACTGTGTGTATAAGCAGCTGATTAATATTTTGGACAAATAATAAGTTAGTGAAAAAGTTACATTCCTTCCCGGGCACATAGGAGAACTCAGCTCAAAAGGAACTCCATAAACATCAAATGCATAAATGAGAAAGTTAAGGATTCCAGGGCAGTATTTCTTAAATGCAGAAGGATTAACTGGAGGTCTTGTTCAATGTGAAGATTTTTCCTTTACCAGGAAGGTTTGGGATGTATGAACTTTAAGGGAGGCCTCTTTAAGTGATTCAGCAAATAGCAGAGGCCAGAGGTCTCACTGATGGACACTTAGGGCATTATAACTGAGGGTATTTCACTTCTTCCTGACCTACACTCTACCTCAGCCGGATGGAGGCATTTTTGCCATTGTGTACCTGGCTGACTGGCTCTGGACTTTGGCCTTTACCCCTACATTCCCCCCCACCCTTGGTACTAAGGATTGAACCAAGGGGCACTTTACCACTGAGCTACATCCTCAGACCTTTTTATCTTTTTATTTTGAGACAGGGTCTTGCTAAGTTGCTGGAAGTTTCACTAAATTGCTGAGGCTAGCCTCAAATTTGCAATCCTCCTATCTCAGCTTCCTGATTTGCTGAGATTTTAGTCATGCACCACACACAGGTTGCTCCATCCCCACATTCTTGGGTTCCATAGTGAATTAGGCCTTATAAATGATTTATGTGACTATTTTCTCAATTTTCCCAAGGATAGTAACATAAGCAGTAGCATCTTAGTTGCATAGGAAGAAGTTAATTTATGACAGACTGTGGGGAGCCATTCTCACGCGTGACTGGGTGACTCCCAGTTTGGGTCTGAGGCTTCTGGCTGTGTTGGAATTTTCCCGGCCCTCTCCTGATGAGAGAACCCGTCCGTGTGGGGGTGTGACTAACCCCGGGGGCCCAATCACTGACCCTGACCTTGGAGTGCGGGCCCCCCCTCAACCTTCATTGGATGGAATTATCCCCTGAATTTCTTGTTTCCCAATAAAAGGCTACTCCCTGGCATGCTCGCTCTCTCTCTCCTGCTAGCCCTGAGTAATCCTTGTTGCCCTGCTGGGCGGTTAGAGGAGGGAACCAGAGAGGGGAGCCGTCTCGGACCTGGCAATAGAAATAAGGTAACTGAGTCTGTGTGTTTTATTTCGATCTCTTTTAGCTAACTTTTATGCCAAAAACCTCATTAATGAAACCATTGCGCTGGCCGCATGGTGGAACAGACAATAGATACCTTGTGGCATCAGCTTAATTCTAGAGGAATTCCAGTTGAAAAGAACTGAACTAGATATTTTGCCTCAACTGAAAACAGACTTTGGGTCTGAACAGAAAGGCCCTTCCACATGCTTTTTAGCCAAATCACATTCCCTTTTTCCTCTTCAAAATCTTGCCTAATATTTATTGCCTCTGGGAAAAAAATTTTTTTTCCCCTTAAATCCATGATTCCAACTTAGACTCACTGGGTGAAGAAGATGAGAAGAAATAGGGAAGGCATGGAGTCAAACCAGCTCTGCTGCTTACCATGTGCGTGACTTGGGGGTGGGTGTTTATAAACTTCAACTTCTTCATTTGTAATATGAAGATTAAAGGAGATAAAGCACTTAATTCAGTGCTAGAATAAGCATGGAAAGCTGTTTATTTGTTTTTTTCTTTCTTTTCTTTTGTAGTACTGTCAATAGAACCCAGGACCTCACACATGCTAGGCGAACATTCTATATCACTGAGCTATATCCTCAGCCCCAGTTATTTGTTTTATGTAACAAACCACTTCAAAAATTAGTGACCTAAAACAACAGCAACCATTTATTTGCTCATGATTTTACACTGGGGCAGGGCTCTGCAGGTATTGATTGAGCTTGACTAGGGCTGAAGGGTCCAGAGGCCACAAGTTTCTACAACTGTGGTACTGGCTGTCAGCTGGGATATGCAGGTGTCTTCCATGTGGCATATCATAATCTAGCTTGACATTTTTTTACACAGAAGCTGACTTCCAAGAGCAAAAGCGAAAGTTATTAGACCTTTTAAGGCCCAGGCTAAGAACTGCCACCTCGTCACCTCAGCTACATTATTTTGTCCAAATCAAGCCACAGGATTCAAGGGGAGGGAAAACAGATTGGAACTCTTGGTGGAACGAGCAAGATGGCTATATGAGGATGGGAAAAACTACTGCCATATTTTGCAGAATATCTTTATCTCATTTTTTTATGGGCCAGGCTATATGGGCAATGACTAAATAGACTCCATTTTACCCCTGAGATTCCATGTCATTTAAGAAATGCTTCTCTCTTGGGAAAATCCCGTTTCTATACTCATCAACAGTTGCTTAGCATAGCATATTGACAATGCAAAATGGCAAAATTATTCCTTCTATTCTTATACACTGTACTTGTGCAATGTACCCTAACCGCATAGAATGTTAATGTTTGTCTAGATGTTAGTAATTGTTCTTTAACTTGTGCTCAACCACAGTCTCTTTAATCCACTTCCCCTTCAACTTATGATGTGAAGTCTCATGATTTTTGTTTATGATTTTGAAACATGGCAATGGCCATTTATGATTAATGTACTGATATGCTTTACATGTGCTTTTAAACTATAAAAGGTGTCCTCTAACCCCTGGAGGACGTCGAGGAGTGCAAACTTGCCATTTGCCCTCTTCCCATGAAGCTAGTTCCATCTCCTGCTTTGAGATGGACTTGGTGATTTATTGCAATCTTGCCATAACAATTTGATATAAAAATGAATATAACTATAAGTAAGGGATGCTCACATCGCAGCCCTCAGGCCTGATTATGTATGCTTGTATCCTGCTATTTGCCACTTGGTGATGGATTTGCATTCTGTTATCCCAACTTATATTGGAAAGCCAACAGAAGAAGGGAGCAAGTCATCTTTACCTCTTTCCAGCACCTTCTACTATACTGAGTTGAATTCAGTTCTGTCATGAACTGCCTAGGGAAAAGGACAGTGTCAGAAACCTATGTGGAAGAGAATGTGAATACAGAAGAGGAAAAGAAAGAATGGAACAGAAAGAGAAGACAGTCTAGCTAAAGGATTCCATTTTTCTAAATATTTTTTTTCCCATATAGAAAGGCTCAAACAGGTGCATGGAAGAGCCACACATTTATTTAGATTATTCCAAATCAGACCTTGTGCTAAAGCTCCTTTAGAACACAATCTTGTCACAGTCAGGCTTCCTGGAGGCCCTGAAAAGAAAGGGCACGTTGTGGCCATCACAGCAAACAGCCAGCGCACACCTGGGAAGCTGAAACCACCTCTCTTCATGGTCCCAGGGACCTGTGCGATGAACTCACTACCTACCTTGCTTCATCCCTGGGCTCTGGCTGTGAAAGAGAGAAAAAGAGCAACAAATACCCACACCAAGGAGCCCAGCATTAACCCAGAGGGCGGAGAGATGGGAAGACTGTGTTCATAAGCCAGCTGGCAGGCAGAGCTCTCCTAAAGAGAATCCCCTGCTTTAATGCAGCCCTTAGGGTTTTTATTTGCTATGTATCAATGATGGGCTTAAGTAAATAGCTTCGGGGACTGAGATTGTTACCAGTTTTCCTGGTCAGGAGCTACAACTCAGGGGGACCTTGGGAGCTCATTCTTGCTCATTCTTTCTTCTTTCTTACCTAACTCATCCATTTATATACAACATATCTATTGTGAAGGATTTAGAATTTGAAGGAGCTACCAAATTTTAAACAACTACCTCAGTTGTCCTTTGTGAATAATGGGCTGCTTGGGAACCATGTGCCCAAATGTTAAATTATTGTTGGCATATAATGAAAATGGTGATTTCCTTCTCTTATATAGGAAGCATACATGACATTCAAAGTTACATATAAATAAACTAATCTGTTTCTTATACCTATGATACTGAGGTAGAAACACCTAATGGACAAGAATAATCTCCTGTTCCTACTCATCCAAGGTTTTTTTTTTTTTCTTTTTCTTTTTGATCCTGAGGATTGAGCCCAGGGGTATTCTGCCAGTGAGTGACATCCCCATTCCTTTTTAAAATTTTTTATTTTGAGACAGGGCTTTGCTAAGTTGCTGAGGTTGTTCTCAACTGTGTGATTCTCCTGCCTTAGCCTCCCAGATTGCTGGAATCACAAGCATGTACCACCAAACCCACCTGTTTTTTCACCCTTACCCTATCCCTTAACAACTTTTCTTATAGTACCTGCTCAGTTCCTCTCACAGAGCCTCTCAGGATTAGATAGATGTTCTCACCATTCTTCAGAGGACCATCAAATTTGACCCTTTCTCACCAACATACAGAGAAAATAGACTTCGTCTATGGCAAATTCCCTCTACAGAGGTAACAGTATTGGTTTAAAAAAATGGTCACCGAGGGTACATGGTTGAGAGGCTCAGGAATATACATTTGCCCCAGACCCAGTAACACCCGCATAACATGAAATAACCCTTCAAGGCACCCTGTCCGTCTTCCCTTACCTTTCTTATGTACAATGTCCTTTTAGGTAGCTTCAGTTAGGAGCTGCAAAAGTGCACATATTTCTCAATGTTAACATCTCAGAAATCTCTGGGAAACCTTTCAAAGCATCGCGAAGGGATATTCTATTTTTGTTTTTTGGGGAGTCCATTCTGCTAGTTAGGGAGACTATATATTAAGGAAAAGGAAGACATATAAAGGCTTATTCATTCCTGATTCAAGCAATTAACATTTTGACAGTGCCAACTGAGTGTCAGAAACTAGGCTAGACAATGGGGAAACAAAGGTGAATATAGACAGTGTCCATGCCCTCAGTGCTTAGAGTTCAAGGAGGAAACAAATCCATAAGTAGATAATATGCTAAATGTAGTGATGAAGATCTGAACAAGGTGACAGGGATGGATAAATGAATGAATACATTAAAGAAGTAGAGAGGATGTGCAATATTGCCTTTAAATAAACCAGAGGGGGAAGAAATAAACAGCTGTAGTTTTTGTGGACTGGGTCAGGAGATTGTATAACTTAAAGAAAAAAAGATCTCAATGGGAACTTGAACTTAATGCCTCTAGAGTGTCAGCTCCTCAACTAACCAATACTGGAAATCCTGGATAAACCAGTTACCTCCTTGTGTTTGGGGTTTCTACTTTGTAAATCAGGTAAATAAACAAACAATTCTTCCTATATTATAGAATGGTTATGGAGAGAAATGAGACAGTGGATACTAAAAATGTCTTCTCAAATGCATCCTAATGTGACCGTGTTGAGAGGACCTGGAGTGGGAAGCCCTTCTCCATCTAAACTTATGTCTCTGGCTGCTGACTTTTCCACCAGGGGAGAGGGAGATGACGGGCACTGTAAGGCACCAGTTCCTCTCTTGCCCTTACTTTTCACATCCACCCGACAGTCCACAGATGCCTCCCCCAGGGCGTTCACTGCCTTGCAGGTATAAATGCCTCCGTCAAAGGGACCAGGCTTGCGGATTTCTAGGGAGCAGATCCCCAGGTGACTGAGGGCTCTGTATTTGGGGTTGCCTTGGATATCCATCTTGTTCTTCAGCCAGATGATCTTGGGCTAGAAGATAAAGATGAGGGGGTAGAAAGAGGGAGTAAGAACAAATTGCTCTTTCTGTGCTCAATATCTAGGACTCTTCCCACAAGGCTTGTAGATAATGACTTCCTGGAAGACTCCCTGTCCTTGATGTTGTGGGAAGAGATTTCTCTTTCAGTACCTTCACCAATACCCTCCCTACTCCTTTATTTGATTGAAAAGAGCACCCAAAACCTCACCTTCTTCATCAAGTACCTTTGACTGGAAGAAAGGGGAGAATTTCTGTCTGATACTTACTGAGTGGCCCTTCATGGATCATAAACTCTGGGCATCAGGGTCTCCTCTTTCTATATATACATTGTTAACCATTCATATTCTAATCCAACTGTTGCCTTGTGACTAGTCCCCTCTTGTTAGAAAGTAGTTTCTAGAGTGGGAATATTGATATTACCCTTCTAAGATGTGATTGCCATATTGTCTCATGATCCAAAAGGTACTTGGTAAAGATTTCTAAGGGTATTGTTAAAGGTATTTAATACTAGATTTTAAATAGAAAGCCTCCCTCAAAGTTATAGCCAGAGGCCCAACTTTAGGCAACTTGCATGTGACTGTCCCTGAACAGATGAAGTCTGGTTAAGTGAGTGAGGACAAACCAGCAGGACTCCATCATGCCCAATAGCAGCAGGTCAGGAAGTGACATCTTTGTATATGAGGAACCAATACTAAAAGGAAACATCATTTGCATCTGTCCATCTGGAACTACAAATGCCCTGACTGTTCCTAAATAACCTGCCATTAAAGAGGGAGATGACGGCAGGGAGAGGAAATATGAAATTAGAATGCTCTGTGGTAGTAACTAAGGTTAGGATGGGAGCATGAAATAGCTCATACCTCCCCTTCAACTTCCCCAACTCCCCACTCACCCTGGGAGAGGCGCGGACGCAGCAGAAGAGCTGGGCATCATAGCCAGTGATTGTAGTGCAGTCTGCCAGAGGCTGGGTAAACCTTGGGGCTTCAGAGAAGTCCCGCTGGGCAAACCCCTTGGTCTTGTAAACAGTAGCTGTGGGCATGATGTGGCATGAGATCCCCATCCCTCTTCCACTCTTTAAGTCTTTCTAGTGGTGATCTCTGCGCTTTCCTTACCTGCTTTCTGGATGTGGGCAAGGTCAGCAGTGACGGGGGCTGTTTCACTGAGTCCACACTGGTTTTCAGCAAAGACACGAAAGGCATATGAGTTGCCCACAATGAGGTCGGAGACAATGCAGCTGTTGCGGTGATATTGCTCCAGCACTGTGAACCACAGCTAGGGGGCCCCAGAAGATGCCATACGTGAGACAACTGTTCTATGAACTCATCCCACATGGAGCTGCCAGAGGACCATTTCAGAATGCCCTGTCCCCTCCTCCCTCCTTTCCAGCTGGGCCTCACCCCAGATTTTGTGTCAGCCTTCTGCACTGTGTATCCCAGAAGTGTCGTGTTGCCCGTATCTTGGGGAGGTGTCCATTCCAGGGTAGCGTTGGAGCCCCAGACGTCCACCAACTTAATACTCTGAGGAGGGCCTGGCCTCTCTGGAAGAGCAAAGCCATAGCAGTGGGCATAGTATAACCCACGTGCATCAAAATCACTTCAAGAGTGCCTCCTGCCCTCCCATCTTTCTCCCTCTCTCCATACTAAACTCCACTGAGAAAAGTGTCCTATTAAACTTTATTTTATTTTTTGGTACTGGGGATTGAACCCAGGGGTGTTTTACCACTGAGCTACATCGCCAACCCTTTTTATATTTTTATTTGAGACAGGGTACTAAGTTGCTGAGGCTCTCTTTGAACTTGTGATCCTCCTGTCTTAGCCAACTGAGTCACGGGATTACTGGCATCTGCCACGTTGCCAGCTTGGCCTCTTTCTTTGCTCAGGCCCCTTCCCCTCGCCCACCATTGTGTCCCACACTTGGGGTTGGGGCATCAGCCCAGCTTTCCTTTTTCCCTAAGATGGCTCCTCTTTAGCCTAAAGAGGGAGCTCCTAGGAACTACCTCCCCCTCCCCCACCTCCACTTACCAATCACCAGGATATCAATGGTGGCAGTGGCCTCCAGCCCACCCAGCTGCACACAGAGTTGGTAGTGGCCCGAATCAGCACGTTGGGCTTCTCTGATGAAGAGGATGGAGTCTTGCTCCCCATTCCGCACACTCACACGACGGGTGTCCAAGGCACAACCATTGTGTGTCCAAGTGGCTCGAGGTTTGGGCTTGCCCTGAAGAATGTAGATATGGCTGGAGCAGCCCAAGAGGCTTCTGTACCCTCCCTGTGGCAGTTGAGATTAGCTCTACCCCAGGTCCACAGTGTTGCGTGATTTGCAGCTGCAAATTCCTTGAGCTAGAGGTTGGTGGTCTCTTCTGGGGACTTCTTCCTTTCAGCAACAGCCTCAGGATCATGGGAAAGGGGGATGGCTTTGAGGATCATGGGAAAGGGGATGGAATCGAGGTTATGGACACCCCTGGGACTAACTTGAATAGCTGCCCAAACTCCCAAGAGCCCTCCAAGTTGAGGACTCCCAGACCTCTTCAGACAGAAGGTCATAGATTAACTTACCTCCTCCCACAGGCACCCCTGACCCTACCAAAGCCCACCCTCAGGGGTGAAGAATAAATGGGTCATTTGGCCTTACACTTCTGGAGATGTGACCCTTCCATTCAGGAAGACTGCCCCACTGCTAGCAGGACTCTTGTTATCTGTTTCTAAATAAAAAACCTTGGTCTGGTCCCAGTAAGGGGCTGGCATGATCACCTGGAATGGGATTAGTAGGTTCACTGTGTCCCCAACCTTCCGGATGTACGTCTGCCTCAGGGCCCGAGGTAGCCAGATCTTGGGGTGCACTGAGTGATGGAAAGAGAGAACAGGAAGTGGATATTCAGAGGAAGGGGATAGTACACATTAAGACTGCACACTAAGGATGATGGCCTGGGCATCCTTCACCAAATTAAGCCCCTATGTTAGGGGATGGGAAGATTGTTCCCATTGTCCTTCTTTCTTTCTTTCTTTCTGACAGTGCTGGGGATGAACCTAGGGTCCTGTGCCTGCACGCTTTCTATCCCTGAGCCCACCCACATTGTCTTGCTGGGATTTAGGAATGAGTCTTTGGCTGAAGGAACCCAGGGAGAGTATTTAAGTCCCTGCAGAAAGAGCACTGGATAGTGAGACTGACACTTTTAATTTATTACTCTCAACTACTGACTCTCCATCAGCCAGAGTTTTGTCTGCGCTCAGTGTGTATTTTGTGTTTTCTGTGTGGTGTGTGTTTTCTGCCCTTTTCTGCATTGGTTCTTAGCTACTTTGCTTGTCCAGAGGCCACTTTCAATATTAATCCCCAACTCCCAGTTCAGCATGCACTTCAGGAGAATGCTTTCTATTCTGTAGGCAGAGCAACACCCTGGACTCCAGCAGCCTCCCACTGGGACAGCATTGATGTCATCACAGGGAGCCTGCGGCTGGGTCCCTTCCTCTGTGTGACCGCCCTGTTCCTGGCGCCTGCTTCCAGTTGGTGGAGGATCACTTTGTACAAACAAAATCTGGGAGAGATTAGGTCCCCCCCCCCACCTCCCCTTGATCCCCCAGGCCTATCCCAGTGAGGTGTAAAGATTAGATGACATTTATTGGCTTCCAGGATGATGATAGGAGATGCTTTAGAGAGTGCTGAGTGTAAGTTTTGGGGAATGATCAGATGCCATTTCTCTCTTCTTGGAGATGCCTGGGGCTTCATAGGCTGTCAGAGTAGGAATATCCCACTTGGGTCCCCTGGGGGCTTGTTGAGAATGACCTCTTCCCAGGGCTGCTGTTTGCTCCCTTCCCCAGCACAGAGAGTCCCCTGCTGCTGTTGTCTTAAGTAGAATGTGACAGCGCCTCAGTTCCCACCAATAAGCCAGGCCTCCTTGCCAAAATTCAGTCCTAGCAGTTAGAAAAACTCCACCCCTGGTACATTCCTGTGGCAAGCAGCAGGACTGCTCAATAGCAGATTCCAAACTTTTTGATAACACACATTTCCCTGTAAATACATTCCTGAGCATTCACCCCAACACAAGTATGTTTACCTACAGATTGAACTGTTTAAATATGTACATGAAGAAAAGCAAACATTTAAGTGATGACATTTATAATTAAATAAACAGAGGTCAGACTATGTTCTTCCTACACCTCAATTTATAGACCCTCCCCCATCAGTCTCTCCAGATCACTGCCCATTGTAAATGAATATACAGACAGCGCTGGAGGGTTTATTTCACATCTCTAGTTTTCTTTTTGGTGAATGGCTTATGCTTTCACTTGGGCCGCGCCTATCTTGGATAGCACCTTTGGAGCTGGGTGCTAAGGGACGTGAGTGTTCTCAAGAACAGGACAGTAGCAGAGCTGCAGGCCACAATGACCCTGCTCTGGTTGCCCTCTGCTGACTTTGGTGGTTGGGGGTGGGGTAGGAAGAACAGCGGAAGTGTTGTGTGATGTGTTCCTCTCCTGTGACCATGTTGGCAAGCAACCAAGGAGTTAGAAACAGGCGGACATGAGTTAAGGGCTTTTTGAAAAAGAGAACTGTAAATGGAAAGGAAGCTCAAAACCTTGTCTTTCTGAGCTTGGTTCCCCGGTGTTGGGTAGGGAAATAACCCTTCACATTTATCGGGGAGAGGGTAAGAGAAAAGATGACTCTGCTGTATACAGACTGTCAGAGTTATTGAGACAGTGAGGGACCACCAAGGGACAGAAGATTAAAACCCCAAGGACCCCTTAGCCCCTGACCTGTCATCTATCAAAGGAATGGTACAAAGAAAGCATGGAAATACACTGAAGGCCTTAAGTCACTAACCTGTCAATTCCTTCAAATTGGCATGCGTTTGTCCCCCTTTTCTTTCCTCCTTCTCTATTATACTTTTCAACTATCTTATAGCCAGGGAGTTGTACTACGAAAATGGAAATATTGGTGTCAGAACATCTCCAAAAGCTAGGTGCAGTGGTGCACACCTATAGCCCCAGCAACTTAGGAGGCTGAGAAAGGATCACAAGTTCAAGGCCAGCATAGGCAACTTAGTGAGACCCTGTCTCAAAAAGGGCTGGGGATATAGCTCAGTGATGGAGTACCCCTGGTTCAATCCCTAGTATTGAAAAAAAAAAATCTCCAAGGATAAATTAAATAGCTGCTTATCTGTATCTTCCATAAGGAAGAGATTCCCTGAAAAATTATGACACATGACTAGTAGAAAATGACCAGACTCTAGCCCAGCCTGGCAACTTGATAAAAAACTGGATCCTTCCTTTGGGGAGCAGGCTGATCTCTTTCTATCAGTGCTCTGTCAGGTAACACTACCCCTCAGTAAAGCTTTGCCTAGGTGTTCATGTTCCTTGGCTTGATTTCATTTCTGCAGTCGCTGGGTCAGAAGTTCCCATGTCTGGCATCATCATGAAGGATCCTGGTAACAAGGGAATGACTGGAAGAAAAAGGAAGAACCCACTTTCTGTGTGTTATCTGTCCATTTGCCTTCTCACCAGTATCTGCCCAGGGCTGGGCTGGGCATCAGAGTCAGGGTTCTGATGTGACCTCCAGCGGCCTTCAGGGAAAAGGCAAAGGGATAGTCACAAGGACTGAAGAGGGTCAAGATGAGGAAAGGAACCTGGGCCTTCATGCCTGGGAGATGTGCGACTGAGCCCCCCTCCGCCTCCATCTTGGGTGGGAAATGGACTTTGATGAATAGATCACACTAATGTATACTTTTTCTACCTCAAGTTTCTTTTGTTTATTGGAAAAACTCCTTGGAAAATGTCATCATTCTTTCATCTGAGCCAAAGAGGAAGATGAAAGGAATAGACTTATGTAGAACATAGGCTCTGGTGGGGGAATCAGTTTAGGCCCTCAGGATGGCTTTAGAAACCTTGAGGGGAGCTCCACTGGTACATAGCCAGCAGAGGGAGGCTCTGGTGGCACTGAGGTGGCAACCTGTCCCTCCCCAAAGGGCTCCTGGCCCTTGTGTATACGTGAGATTCCCTGGCAGGATGATGGAACTGAAGTTAGCCCCTCTGAGGGTGAGTGGGTGGGGTGCTGCTCTCCACAGGCCTGGCCCCCAGGGACAAAGGGCTGGAAGTGCACAAGAAGGTTTGGCAGTGCCAGCTGCCCGGTCAGCAGTGAGTATTCTAGTGGCCGCCCAATTCAGCCCAGCAGCAATCTGACCCTTCTTCAGAATGTAACGGGGCTCACTTGAGGCATCTCTTTTGGCACCTCCACAGACAAGCGAGGTGTAAATTGTACTGACCTTGGGGAGCATGGCTTCTCCTGACACCCAAGGTCTTCCTTCTCCTCAGATGCCAGGAAGGATGTGACCAAAGCCTAGAGCTTCAGTTTTCTCAGACCAGGTCTGTGGCGGCCCCAGTTTTGTTTTCACCCTTCACAGAGTCTTGGGGAAAAGGCATTTTGAAAAGCCCTCTGGAAGCTCAGACCTCTGAGCTGCCCAAGGCCAGCTATGGCTTTGAAACTAAAGATTGCCAGGGATCCCGAAGTACCGGCATTGCTTAGAGAAACATTCAGAGATGCCTAGGGTGTGGTCTTGACTTTAGAAACCTGCCTGGTGGACAGTGATGGGAAAGGAGTGTGATGACCACAGAAGAAACTTGCAAAGGGTAAGTGTCACCTCCTTGAAGACATGAAACACAGATCAGAAAACAGGGAGGGACGTAGAAACAGGCAACGTTATTCTGAGATAAAGACCCCCACCACCACCATCAGTGCCTCATATTTGGTTTTAGAATCAATGGCTCTGTCTCCAACACTGCCCAAGATCTGATTCCTGGGGATTTCAGCACCCATCCTTTTAACCCTGTGGGGCCTTGCCCATCCTGGCCCACCACTTGTCCCATACCTTATTGTCCTCCCCAATAGTCACTGGACCCTGAGTCTCTAAAGCAGAAACTGCAACCCCTGTATGATCTGAATTGTAAGCATCCTGCTCTCAACACCTCCATATCAGAGATGGCTACTTGGCCACCAAAACTGTTATCCCATGTATAGTGTAGTTATCTCTGAGAAGTGGCTTCCCAGCCAGGGACACTTCCCAGCCCCCTTACTGTAGACCATGAGACTAGTTCTTGCCAATGAAATGTGAGTGGAAATGATGGGAATCACTTTTTGGTCAAGACCTATATGCAGATGATCATGGGACCCTTATGAAAAAAAACCTGCATCCCTCATTCGCTGCTCAGAGAACTGTCTGCTGAATAGGGACACTTGTTTTCAGTTCTTACACTAGTGAGAAAGAAACATCCATTATTTCTGCCATCTGTCTGGTTCATCTATTAGTCTATCCTAACTATTATATAATCTTTACTCCTTTAATCTCACTTCCTCTAATAGTTCAATATCAGCATTTTTGTTCGTTTGTTTTTTGTATTAGGGATTGAACTCAAGATCCCTTTACCTCTGAACTACATCCCTAGACCTTTATAAAAAATTTTTTTTGAGACAGGGTCTTGCTAAATTGCTGAGGCTGGCCTCAAACTCATGATCCTTTTGCCTCAACCTCCCCAGTCTCTGGGATTATAGGTGCTCAGCAAACATCAGCAATTCTTCAGCACCACTGAGCTCTATGCTCCATTATCCTACCACCCTCTTGCTATCAGCACCCCTCTTGTGTTAATCACTTTTTTTATGGCCATTATTTTTTTTTCAAGTTTTTATTTGTTCTTTTTAGTTACATATGACAGTAGAATGTATTTTGATATTATACACACATGGAGTATAACTTCCCATTCTTGTGGTTGTTCCATGGCCATTATGATGCTGACTCTCTTGCATACTCACCCGAATCCCTGAATCCTCTTTCACCCCATTGCACCTACGTGGCAATACCCAACCCTGGTTAATTGAAGTTTCCAGCCAGGTGTGGTGGCACATGCTTGTAATCCCAGCACCTTAGGACGCTGAGGCAGGAGGATCATAAGTTCAAAGCCAGCCTCAGCAATTTAGTGAGGCTGTAAACAACCTAGTGAGACCCTCTCAAAATAAAAAATAAAAAGGGTTGGGATTGTGCCTCAGTGGTTAAGTGCTCCTGGGTTCAATACCTGGTTCCAAAGAAAGAAAGAAAGTTTCTTCCCACTCAGGGCCTGCAGAGTCACAGAGAGGTCTACGGGGGAAATGGGAACTATGAGACTTGCACTGCATGGCCATCACCAGGAAATGCTGCCTCCAAATAGCCTGGCAATTCTACTGACTTCCCCCTTTTACTCCATCTCCCATTTCTGGGTGACTAGCACATATCTTTTTAAAAAAATATTTATTTTTTAGGTGTAGATGGACACAATGCCTTTATTTTATTTACTTATTTTTATGTGGTGCTGAGGATCGAACCTAGGGCCTCACCCATGCTAGGTAAGTGCTCTACCATTGAGCTACAATCCCAGCCCCAATTAGCACATACATTTTTCTTCTAAAACTTCTAGACCTTTTCCCTCCTCATTCTCAATTGATAATCTTACTAGTTTCTAAGACCCACCTACCTTCTTCTTTTTTTTTGTATCAGGAATTGAACCCAAGGGCACTTAACCACTGAGTCACATTCCCAGCCCTTTTTATTTATTATTTTGAAACAGGGTCTTAGTAAGAGCCTCACTAAATTGTTGAACCTGCGATCCTCCCAAGCTGCTGGGACTATAGGCATGCACCACCACGGCTGTCATATTTTTAACAACCACAAAGCACACTCCTGCTTCAGGGCCTTTGGTCCTGTTACCTCTGCATAGAAAATATTCCCCTCAAATCTCTGTTATGATGCTCAAGTATCACCTTATTTGTGAGGTCGTTATGGAGTATCCTTTTTGAAATAGGAAGCTTGCATGCTTCCTACCCCAGCACTTTCTATCCTCTTCCCTGTGTTATTTTTGGCATAGCATTTATCACCACCTGACATATTATATACTTTACTTGTTTATTTATTAATTGTCCAACTCCCTTTATTAGAATATACCCTCAATGAGGGCAGTTATTTTTGCTATTTTATTCATATCTGTAACTCTGGCACCTTAAACAGGGCCTGGCACATAAAAAGCACAAAAATAAATATTGTGGGAGGAAAAAGGAGGAAAGAAAGAAAGAAGGGAGGGAGGGTGGCAGAGAGAGGAGAGGGAGGAAGGAAGGAAACTTGCTCCCAGGGATGAGACTCAGCTTCCCAAACCTGAAAGTCACAGGACAGTTCACAGTGAAAGAGGGTTCAAGTCAGTTAGATCAATTATGCTGAAGTCAGCAGCTGGGCCCTCCCTCTTCTGTCTCACTGTCTCATGTTCTCTATGGCAAGGATGTAGTCTCTTCCCCAGCCCCTCACTAGTTTGGAAGTTCTCCTCTAGCCTTTGCCAAATTTTGTTCCCAGGACACCATGCCTAAGTACTGTACAGATAGACATAAATCAGTTACCAATGCCAGCTTCCTCCTGCCTATTCAGCCATGAAGAAGCCTTGCTTGACTAAAAGCTCATTGTTAGCCAGTTGCATTTTATTTTGATGTTGCAAATTAATTTTTGTCTGCTCTATTTCCCATGTGTGCTCAAGGCATCCTCCCTTGGTCCCTGCCTGCTCTGAGTAAGATGAGGAGTTCAGAGGAAGACAGTCCTGGCACCTTGAAGGATCTTTGGATGAGTTTCAGGGACTCTGCAAACTCCCTGAACTCTTTTGATGTGTTTTCCCTGGGGTGAGAGGCCACATCTTTATTGGGGGTCCCTAGCTGTCCAAAGATTATGATGCAGATTTGTTCAACTTCTCAATCTGTAGATGGAGGCCTTGAGAAGTGAACTGACTCCCTTTAAGTAAAGGGATAGAGCTGGGATTTGAACCCAGGTCTTCTTTTTCCAAGCAGCGAATAGACACATGTACTTTGCACAGTGTCAAGGGTGTCCTTAATGCCTGTCACCTCTAGGATACCCCTGGGTTGAGCCACTGGCTGGTGGCAGAGGTCTGCAGTGTGTAGAGCTGCCATACAGAAATATGTGTGGCCAGGGATTGTCAGAGGCTATCTGCCCACAGTGTCCTGCTCTGCAGGCAGAAGCCAGAAGCCTGGTGAGACGAATGCCCACCCCCGGGGTTCCATAGAAGCCAGGAGAGAGAGTTGGGGAGCCAGCAGAAAGAAGAAGTAGGGGAAGTTCTCATATCTGAACTAGTTCTCATTCCCTCTGCCTGTGATATATTCTCTGGGCTTTTTAGGTTTTTCTGCCTAATTGCCTCAATTTAAGACATGAATAATAACTTCTGCTTCCCCTACTTCTTCTTTCTTTTTGTAGTGGGGATTGAACCCAGGGGCACTTAACCACTGAGCCATATCCTCAGCCCTTTTTAAAATAGTTTATTTAGAGACAGGATCTCACTGAGTTGCTTAGGGCCTCACGAAGTTGCTGAGGCTGGCTTGAACTCACTATCTTCCTGCCTCGGCCTCCTGAGCTGCTGTTCCCCCTACTTCTTCAAACGGACAAACTTGGCCAATTCTCTGTTCTTGAACAGCTTCTGAAAACCCAGTGTCTTCAGAATGCTATGAGATGGAGAGCTTTCCAGCCTATATGGAGATGGAACTCTTGGCTTCCACTCCTGACTTGGAAGTATGGATTCACATTTCGATTTATCTCTTCCAAGGCACTTTGGATTATCTTGGCAATCCTTTCAATTACCCTACTATATAAATGTTCATCAATCACCATTTCACAGACAAGAAATTGAAACTGAGTGGTTAATTGACTTGTCCAAGGTCACGGAGCTGCCAAAGTGAGCGCTGGGAATGGAGCCCAGATCTTTGCCTCCAAGTTCAGAGTATCTTTTCTCCTACCTCTTCCTACCCTGGGAGTCCGTGGGCCTCTGGTTTGTGGTCCTTGCATCCTTTGCACTTAGGACTTTAAGATGCCGAACGCTGGGGTTTGAGCGGCTGTGTTAAATGTTTAATACAGCCCTGTGGCTGCTTCCGAAGATCACCACGCAGAAGGAAGGAATCTGGCTTCTACTCTCGGTCTCTGGTCTACACGTTCAACATGGTGTACACCTGTGCATGGGTCCCAAGGCCACCCAGGTGAGCCACAGAGACCTCAGCCAGGGGCAGTTGGGATTGGGGTGGGCAGTAGGGCATCCTGGGGTTACCTCCCAGCTCGAGAATGCCTCTTCACAGAGACTGTCATGGAGGGGAATCAAGTACTTCTCCCAGAAAGGCTCCATGTCCATGGAGCTCCATCTCTGAAAGGCCAGGATTTCCCCCTGGGTGCAGTAGGGGTGTTGGGGTGGGTCCCAATGCTGTGGCACTGTCCATGGAGAGGCCAAGTGTCACTGCGTTGATCAATACTTAGCCTCCCAGTGGCCTCAGCTTTTCATTTCCCCTTCTCCCACTGCAGATAGCTGCCATCTCACCCTTCATTTCCTGCCCAACTGTCCACTAACACATCAGGTCCTCCCAGTTCCAGTGAAGACATTTTTTTAAAGGTAAAAATAAAAACATAATTTTTAGTCACTATAAATGCCCACAAACACTAATCACTGATTTCTCAGATAAAAAGCAGAAACCCAGCAGACACTTGAGCAGTAAGGAAGAATCCAAGGAGGCAGGTGGAGGCTCTGATGAGTGATCTGGCATCTTAAGTACCCATCCCATAAAACATCATAAAGTCACTAAGCTGGGCAAACACCTAAGGAGGTACAGTTGGGGAGGTAGGGAAATTTTTCCAAAATCCCAGCCTCCCAACCCTTGGCATCTGCCAGTACTTACCTTCCACAGTGGGCAGGAGCTGGGGAGTGGGACTGCCCACCCACTGTTTCAGGGAAGCCTCAGGCTGTTCAGTATCTGCAGGGCTGGCTTTTTCTACCTGCAGCTTGGAGCCTGAAGCCACCTCCAGAATTGTGGCTGCCTCCATGCTGGGCCACCCCAGGCTGGGCTCCAGCAGAAGATTTTCACTGTTGGTGGGAGGGAGGGGCTGTGCATCTGCTCCCTGGACTGGCCTCCTGGGTACCAGTCATAGGCTTATGTAAGTGGGCTGGCCTTTCCCTACCCACCTACTCACAGCAGAGGGTGAAGCTGGGGCTAGGGGAAGAGAGAAGGATCAGAGAGCAGCCCAGAATAGCCACAAGAGGAGGGCTGAGGTGGCCCTGTTATCTTGGGAGAGAGATGACACCCACATAGCTCTAGGGAGGGAGGGGGGAGCTTGAGCACAGACCATCCAAAAGGGACCTCTGGCTTCTGTTGGGAGGATTGGATGACATCTCAGCTTCTGACCTCCAGCTTATCCAACAGGGCTTCAGGCCCCAAGACCAGCTGACCCACAGGCACACCTTTAGCTGCTCGCACATTCAGTGAGTCCTGTAGTCTCATAACTCGCCCTTCACAGGACCCTCCCCATCCTCTCTACTTGATCCCTCTCTTTGCCCCAGCCCTGCCCCCAGAGCAGGGCAGTGCCCTGGTGGAGCCTGCACACGGCAGAGGCTACAGACCACTACCCAAAGACCCAGAGTCTAGCTGGGCTCTGTCACCAGCTAGCTGTGTGACTTGCCACACACCAGGTGCTAGGGGTGGAACCTAGGGTTTAGCATTTGCTAGGGAAGGGCTCTACCACTGATTTGCACCCCCAGCCCTGACAGTGTCTCTTAAGTCTATTTCTTCATCTGTAAAGTGGCTAAAGTAATAACTACAGGGTCGTTGTGTGGATTAAACGAGCTAATCTCTGTAAAGTGTTTAGCAGAATGTAGTTGACTAAGTGCTTGATAAATGGAAACTATTTTAGGTCAGGCCAGTATTTTCTCCCTTTGAGAGTGTCAGTGGCTCCCTCCCTATGAGATAAAGCACAAATGAAGTGAGAGGCAGCAGGGCAGAGGGAGGAGAGCTCCTGGAGGAAGGGAGGTGTGACTTCTGGCTGTACCACTCTGTCACCAGCTGGTGGCTCAGAGCTGCAGGCCTATGAAACAAGAGTTACTGATGCCATGATCATATTGAGGACAAAATGATAAAATGCAGGAAAGTGGGCGCCCGTGATAGGTGTGGGTGATGCATTAAAGGCCCTGCCTGGTTTCTGGGCTCACCCACCTGCGGTTTTACATGTTGTATGTTCCATTCAGAATATCTGGTTTTCGATCATGTTCCTGCTTTCCTATCTCCAGAAGACAGCATTCCGTTTGTATTTAAAAACAAAAAACAAAACATTTTTAGAGTGGTTTTAGAATCATAGCAAAGTTGAGTGAAAGTACAGAGTTCCCATGTATCCTTCCCTTACCCCTATATTTTTTCCATGGGGAGAAAAATCATTGTGGTCGACTGAATAGGCTCCTTATTCATTTTAGCCTCCAACTAGGGGGCACCTGGTAGGATCCCAGGAACTCTTACCATCTTGGGGTGATAGGAGCCCAGTTTCTTTGAACTCTGGATAGTCTGTGGTTCAGAACAACCTATAGATGTGCTTTGGTGTCAGGAATCTGTTCATCAGGGGCTGGGATGGCTGAAGAGGGCAACTGTGGAGGTTGACCTCTGGGTCTGGTTTGATTGGGAAAAGGTTAGACTTGTGTCATGTCAGAGAAGGTCTAAAGGTCTCTGACCTTTTTCTCATCCATCCTAGCACAGACCTCTAGAAATTGTAATCTCCCAAACCAGGGAACCCACTTTTTATACCTCACTCAACCACATTTTGGTGAGGAAGCTGGAACAGCTTTCAGTCCTAACCTTTTGTAGCAATGAAGGTGTAAAGAATCAAATTTAAACTGCAGATTCCTGGGCTGTGGATGTAGCTCAGAGGTACAGTGCTTGCCTTGCATGTATAAGGCCCTGGGTTTAATCCTCATTATTGCAAAGATAAAATAAAATGCAGATTCCTTAGGTCTGCCCAGTAGAAATTCTTATCAGTCTGGGTAGAATCCAGGAATCTGCATTAAAAAAACAAAAACAGAAAACAAAACAAACAAAAACACATTTTGGTGCAGTCTTAGCTCATTATGGTAGGATTCCTTAATCTATTCCAGATAATCTCATGAGATAGAACTCTCTCACCAGAGGGTGGTCCCTTCAAGCACAGGGCTTTGCCCTGTCATCTCCAGACCAAGATGCTGGAGCAGTAATGGAAACACTGCTCTGGAATGGCAGGGTGGATGGCTAAGGGCTCAAGGTGAGCGGCAGGAACCCTCCTACAGGCAACATTTGCAAGACTGGGAGTCAGAGTAGCAAGTGAAACCTAAGGGGGGACCAAAAGCTATCAAAGTTCAATTTCCAGTGTTGTCATTTGTCAACTCTGCTACAAGGAACAGAAGTTGGGAGAGCAACGATGTGTTGCTGTGTCCAGAAGCAAAGGAAACTAGAGAAGGTGTGTGGGTGGATCTGCCAGATTTCCTGAAGGTGAGAACAAGAGCGTTGGTCTCACAAACTCTGTAGGAGGTGGATCTTTTCGAGCATGAAAAACAAGAAAATGAAGGACAAGAAAGTTGGATAATTTTTAGCAGAAACAACTCACTTTTGGGGGACTCATTTTCCCTATAAAGTATCTAATACCTTTCATAAATGCACAGTCCTAGCTCTTAATTTTTTTTTCTGGTAGCTGGAGTTGGGTTCTCAAAGCTAGAAAACTGGAAAAGCTATCCTATTAACAAACCATACTTTAGTCATCTCAGTAGATCAGGTAACAAAGTCCAGTCTGTTTTATTTCTAACCCAAATATTGCAAATATACATAAAATTACCAGTACAAAGTTAAACACATCCAGATTTATTTACACAATGATAAAGAAATTTCAGTTTTATTTCCATTTTGTGGAATTGCATTATGGGGTCTGGCTTTGCTGTGTAACTGACATGGGTCATTGAAACTTGATTATTCCACCTCACATGCAATTTTCTGTCCCAAAGGAACAGAAAACTTGGGTTTTTCAGCACACATGCAGTAATGATCTTAATACTGCTATACACTTTCATAGGATGGCTTGGGAAGGGACCACATGCTCAGAAAGGGAACAAGAGACCAGAGAGGGATGAACAGGCACATGGGGACCCTGAGCATTTCTGTGCACGAGGATAAGGAGAGAATGACCCAAACCCTCCTCCCTGGAGGCTCCAACACAGGAGGTGAGCAGAACCACCAGGGGACATAAAGTCACTTGACCACAATTGAGGGCATGCAGAAGATGAGAACTGCATTAAAGATTTGGGGCATATCAATAAATCATTAACATGTACACTATACAGTTTATACATGTATATATGTACACACATATATATATATAAAGGTACAGGTTAGTTTATGTTATTCCATATAAACAAGGACGCTTGAGAATGTACTGGTGTGAAAAAAATGCATACAGCAAATTATTGAAGACAATTTCAAATTAATGCTCTAGTTCTTATTGTTATGCAACATAACCGAGAAATCTACATGCTCCTGCTATTTCAATTATCCCTCATGAGGGCAGGGCCTGGGCTCTGCAAGGGCAGGATGATGCTCCAGGAGCTGCCTGCACTAGACAAAATAATGGCAGATGGAACAGAAAGTCTGGCACCTGTGGACTCTGGCCCTCCCTGTCGCTACCTCGTATGGCAAATCTCAAACTTTGGTTTTTTCAAAGGACAGTTAAGTCCATGTTAACTTTCCTCCTGGAAGGAAGGTGGTAGAAAGCTGAAAAGTTGCATTCCTTCCTATTTTAACAGTTCCAAGTACCCTGGCTTAACGTGGAGATGAGAGGGCTGTGCTGACAAGGAGCTGGCGAGGTTTTAGCCTTGTGTAGAGGGCAGGGCCCTGCAGAGTGCTCCTAAAGAAAAGACAGGCACGCTCTATCAGGCTAGCTTGCCTAGGAAATAATCAAGTGCCTGAAGCCTGTTACCCTGGGACTAGTGTGGATGGCCCTCTGCCCCTCTCTGCATCCTGGTGTCTTGACACAGGCTATGGGATGTTTACAGGCCCAGTGCAGGAGACGGAGGGATGCACTGATCCCTGATGCTAACCTGTCAGGGATGAAAAAGCCCATTTGGGGGCATGCAGAGACCCATAGGAAAACCTAAATAAGAGAAAGTCTATTCAGGGGCAGGCAGCAACCACAGAGTTCAGTTATAGGGACTCAGCTGTAGTTCCTGAGCCCACCCTTCAGCAGCCAAACTCTTCAAAGGCTTCTACTCTTCTGAGTAGTGTCCCTGATCAATTCACAGCTTAGGCATATTCAGTCCTGGTCTCTGGTCTTGGTAAAAACCAAAAGTTCCCTACATCTTGAGTAGGAAGGACATCGAGTTTTGGATTTAAGAGCTCAGATGACTTAAGACTGTCTGACATGTCCAACCTACCTAACAATGCTAGATTCTATGGTTCAAGCCTCCAGAAATAATTTCTTCTGCTACCATCAAGCCTAGGAGTTTACACAACAATATGCTAGGTTTTACCTTCAAGTAAAGGACGATGCTCCTAACCTGAGTAGGACAAATTAGCGTTTTTGTTTTTTAATTTTAGAAGCTATAATGGATTTAGACTGTTTTACTTTCTGGCTGAGGGCACATACTTGTGACTGAGTGGGCTGACACTGAAAGTGAACTGGCCAAAAAAGGCCAGGCTTGCAGACGGTCCTCTAGCCAACAGAGCCAGCCAGGCAGGGGTGGAAGCAGCAGACAGGAGAAGGGGGCCTTCCACGAGACTCACTTCTGTTTTCCTCAGTAGTGACCCTTCACTAGAGGAGGGGTCTTTCCTGACACACATTCATGATTACCATTACTTTTGATTCCAGACATAAAAAAACAGGAGAATAAACTTTTCTGTTTCCCAAAAAGAAAATAAAAAGGTGCTAAGTAATGCTCTGAAAGAAATGACACTGATCCCTGTCCTCAAGAACAGCAAGTAACCTATAAGAAAGAAGCCCATGTCAAGCACTCAGAACCTGCCAGCGTTGATGATTCTCCAGAGTTCTGAAGACAGCGCTGCTCCTCACGCACAGGGACCCTGAACGACAGACTCAAGTTTGCTTCCTCACTCCACCACAAGAATGTGTGTGTGTGTGTGGGTGCTCTGAAAATTATCAAATTCTACAGAAATCCCGGGTATTATAAGCAAAGAACCTTAATATTATCTGTTCAGAGAAGAATATCAACTTTCCTACACCTTAAAACTAATATGAGGATTATTGTGTACTGGTACACCTACCCCCATCTGGGTAAAGGGCATGTGGGAGAAAGGGCATGTGGTGTTAATAGGTGTTTTCTGGGCACTGAATTCACTTTGAGCAGGAGTTGAGGGTGGGACAGAGGCTGACACTTTCATCATTTTTGAGCTGGTGATCTTTGGAATCATTTTAAAATTTAAAACCATGCAAAATGAACGAATTACAAAATGAACGAATTCTAGCCCTCACAAATATTAATTCTTAAAAAAAAAAAAAAAAAACTGCCCTAACTTCACTTTCTAGTTGAAACTCCCTGACTCATGTAATTTTACTGCAATTTCAAAGTCTCAAAATTTTCTATCCACTCCCTCCTCCTCTGTCCTTGCTGCTGTTCATCCATTCTGGAGAGGAAAGAACTTGGCCATCTGCTCTCACATTCTGACAAAAGTTAATTTGGCACATTTACTTTTTACTGTCTTTCTAGCCACAAAATGAACTAGCAGCAAAATGGCATCTTACTAAAGAATGTCCCAATCATAATTATCAGGAGAAACTGTGACCAGCACAACAGGTATGGTAAGACCAAAGACTGACCACACTATATTACTGTATAGCAAATATCCAAGCTGTATTAAAACTAATTATTCCAGCTTTCCATTACTATCTGGCCACCCCCAAATCCACCCAACTGCATTCTAGAATTTGTTTAATTTGGGAAAATGTCAAATGGAAAACTTCCTTAAATTTAAAATATGATCCCAAAGTATCCAGACTGGAAGTGTGTTTTTGATTGGTTCAGCCAAAAGTTTCATGCCAACAAATGACTTGACAAAGCTGGGGAAAGGGGTGAGAAGGAGGGCCTGGTCAGAAAATTCTGATTTAAAAAAAAAAAAGTCTATAAATCTGAAAACAACTCTTGTTCTGGCTCCACGTACAATAGCAACCAAGGAGGAGGCGGATGAGCAGCCACTGTAATGCTCACCAATGAGCCAACACACCAGGAGCAATGGGAAGACTGAGGGCCAGTCCTCAGTGCGGCACAGTGTGCTCACTGACCAACTTCAGCGGAGAGATGATTGAGCCTGGGCACACTTCCAGGCCATGCCTGCACCCTGTCCTTGAGCAAGTCCACTGGCACACACACAAAGCACAGCTTGAACGACCTCAGAAGCAGCCAGTTTTTCGCCTTTAATAGGTGCTAAATCTAGTCAATTCTCTGTTGCTCCCTTCTTCCTGCCCCAAGTTAAAAATATTGCCCTGTAAGTTTTCCTGATTTAGTGTCTTGGAAGCACATGGTTTAGTTAGTTGCCAAAGGGCAATTAACAAGGGTATTGCCTAATTAAACAGGGGAAAAGAAAAATCACTGTGGTCTACGGTCCCTGGAGAGGGGGAGAAGCAGCATCGGGCTCTGTGTGAGGAGCTGGTGTGCAATGTTCTTGGGGCCAGGCTGTCCCCAAATGGAGAAAAGCGGCCAGGCTGTGTGCTGTCACTGCAGTGGTTTCCTGCTGCACAGCTGCTCCACGTGGCCAGCAGAGCCCAGGGACAGCACTGGGTACGTTGATGCTGAAGTAGGCAGATGCCCTGGGCTGGGCCCCACGTAGAACATGCAAGAGTGGAGTTAGTGAAATAGTCCCTTCAAATTCCATTTCGTTTCCCTTAAAAATAAAACAAAACCCCAAAGCCCATACTTTAAAAAAAGACAGAACTTGAAATGACGTTAAAGAATTTAAATCCCCCTCCCCTCAGAGCCAATTGTACTCAGGGTTCCCCACCCCCACCCTGCATTTCCTTAGTGAAGGTCCTTTTGGCTTTGATGGAAGCAGCAGAAACAGAGCTGGGTCCCTCACAGTGGGAAACTCATTTCCCCCAAGTTGGAGCCACAGGGAGTGTAAGAGGTACTGTGGTTCCACTATCCATGCTTGGTCCCAGCTCCTTTGAACAGCTATTCCAGGAGGTCCTGAAAAAGAAGTCATATTATTGACAGATTACTGACAGATTAAAAAGTTTCTATTCTGAAGGCAATTATCCAGTTTCTGGGTTGGTTGAATCCTACAGTCATTAAGGTGCTGCTCCTACTTATACCCTCTTTTGCCCAAATGGTAGACTGGTCATGAGTAGGTGAATCATTTTAGGCTATTCCTCAAGAAGAAATGGCCTCACCTCATCTGAGTCATCATGATAACCACTTTTATTAGCATGAGAGGTTGTGTCCAAAGCATCCACACCATCAGCCTCTGCGTGTTGCTGTAGCACTGAGTACCTGTGCACAAGGAACCTGTGGGTGGAAACCTTTGTTAGTCTCACGTCGGGAGCAGCGGTGCTCTTCTTATAGGACTATGGATTTTTCCAGTTTTGTACACTCATGGAGTGAGCTGCACATATAGGCAGCACAGCCCTCTGGTGACACATGGGAAATATGAGATATGAGAAGATTTAGGCCTTTTTTTTTTTTTTTGGTACCAGGGATTGAACCCAGGGGCACTTAACCACTGAGCCACATCCCCAGCCCTTTTTATATTTTGAGACAGGGTCTCATCAAGTTGCTTAGGCCAGCGCCAAAAGGATGGCTTTGAACTCATGATCCTTCTGCCTCAGCTTCCAGAGCCACTGGGATTACAGGCCTGTGCCACTGCACCTGGTTTAGGCCTAATTTTTTTCGGAACATCATTTCCACTACCAACTTTTTGCCAAAGGCAGACCCAACCATACATGCTGGGTTGAATTTCTGATTTGGATTCAGTACCTCTGGCCTACTTCTGTGTTCCTTACCTTCCACCACACACATATTTCTTCACAATGAGCACTCCTGCTACGACTGTGACCAGCATCAATCCCACGATGGCCAAGATAATTGGAACAGAATTTGACTTGGAATTCTTGATAAATCAAAACACAAACACAAAGGCTTTTAGGCATGCATATTCTACATACTCTAGGACTGTATTTGAAGAGGTTGTTGTTCCCGGTTTCTCTGAGAATGATCTACAGTCCAAGGTACTTATTTTTTTATTATTATTTTTTAGTTGTAGTTGGACACAATACCTTTATTTTATTCATTTTTATGTGGTGTTGAGGATCAAACCCAGGGCCTTGCATATGCTAGGTGAGTGCTCTACCACTGGGCCACAACCCAGTACCCCAAGGTACTTATTGATGGTACTTTTCCAACCCCCACAATGAACCATCTCAGTGTTACCAGGAGAGCATCAGAGCTGGCAGAGGGGAGTCTGAGCTCTACTGCCTGGAAGCTGCAAAGGTAGGGCTTCAATGCTGGCAACTGCCTAGATTGAATACAGTAACTGTGAGTGTTCTACATTCTTTGTTTGCAAGTCTTTCAGCTTAAGGGTGGATGGAGCAGGAAAGGGAGACTGTGATAGTAGTGGGCTGAACGAATCTAGAACAGGGCTATCATGGGGAGGAAGCTATGTCAATGCTATCCAGGCAGTCCATTCTATGACATCAAGATTTATGTTTCTATTTAATTTTTGTGTTTACAAATATGCCTTATCATATCATTGTTTGAGTGTAACCTACCTGCTTCTGGGTGGGAGACAGGAAGTGTATGTTTTCAATTTATCCAAGGGGAGGTGGAGCTGGATTCTGGGACAAGCTGTGTCCCTATGGGCGGGAGTCCTGTGCAATCACACACACAAACACTCTGAGGACAGCCACCAGGAGTCCAGGACAGGGACTCAGAAGAAGAACTTGCCCCCTTGCAAATATACACACCCACACACTCTTCTCCAGTTGCCTGCTTAATCCCACCCTTGTTGGTCTCATCCCGTGGAAGAGCAGAAAGGAGGTGACTATAGATTGTCTGGCTCAACCTTTCATATTTCAGATGAGGAAGCAGATCCCACAGTTTATCTCCCCAAGTCACACAGCTGGTCCACAGCTTATTTATCAAGAGCTTTCTTCTTCACAATATCTCCAAATCCCAATGAGATAGTTCAGTACCACAATTTGTAATCAGCCTCCAAATTTGCATCTAAAGCAAAACTAGTCCATTATGACTATGGTTCATTTTTTCATTCTGAATATTCTTGGTATGACTCAGCACAGACTCACTCTACCTACGGTCTAAAACTCTTCTCTGCATGTGTACAACTCCTGGTCATGGCCCTTATAAGCAAGCTTCTTTTTTAAAAATTTATTTTTTTAAATTTTTATTAATATGTAATAATTGTACATATTAGCAGAGTACAGTGTGATATTTCAACCCATGCATACATTATAAACCAACAGCTATCCTTCTTGAGTTTTTTTCCTAAAAGACTTAGCTTCAGAAATTTCCACAAATAAATGCTTCTAAGACTTTTGCAACATTTTAGAACACCATTTTTCCCCAACAAAAGAGAGCTTTAGTGGGATGAATTATCATTGGGTTAAGGGGCCTGTCCTTCATCTTAACAGTTTGCCTGTGTACAGGGAAGTCTGGCAGGAAGTTTGGCCACATTGTGTCAGTAGCAAAATTCTTGAAGCTATAACACTGACAAAACACAAAAATCCAGCTTGTACTAAAAACTTGCTCTATTTTAACATACCTGCTTTTTGGGACTCAGATAGTTGCTTGTGCACTTCTTTTTCAAGTCTTTTACTTCTCGAGCTGGATTCACCCCACCTTGGCATCTGTCTCCTGGAATTTTCCGGTACCTGAAAGGCAGAGATTTGTTCACAAGGCTTTCTGCTTGCTGGTGGCTGTGGTGCCTTCTGGTAAAGGCATATAGATAGTGGCTGTGGCCCCTGGGCTAGGATGCTCTGCGTTCCTGCTGGAGTCAGGGGCACCAACCCAAGCTGAGGCTAGTATGATGGTAGCACTCAACTGACTCCTTCTGGTGCAGGCCTTTGTGACTCGCAAGCTATTAGTGTGCAGAGCCTCATGTAAAACAAGCTTCTCAAAGTCCACCAGAATCTGCCTTCAGCGATGGCCATTACAGAGGTGGATTTGAACCCAAAATGACAAAATAGAAAGCAGAAACTATATATAAGCCCTACTGCCAGTAATGAAGAATAAGAGATGTTCACCAACAGATTGCACTATTAACTCCTCCAAAGGAGGATCTCCTTATATGGCAGACAAAATCAATGAAGCTAAAGATCTGCTAATAGGTCAAACTAAAAATTGAAGTATATGTATGATGAATTTTCGTTCATATTAGTTTGTGTATATGAGTTCCAGTTTTTTTTTTTTTTTAATAATAAAATGCTTAACAGATGCAAAGAAATTAGGGAGGGAGGAAGGAAAGGGAAGAAAGAAAAAAAGGTAGATCTGTTAATAGAAAACAAGGATATATTCCGGACTCTTGCCTATTTCCTAGAAACAAGACTTTAAAAACTGCAGAAAAGTTTCTTGTCCTTATGATGCAGAGAGAAACACAAGTAAACCCTCTAGCTTCATTTGTTCTTACTTGCTTTTAAGTTGACTTTAAAAATCATCAATTTTGGAGGTCATGCAACTGGGCAATATATTATTAGTCCCCACTGGCTTTGCTAAAGACAACATAACATATAGGTCATAATAAGAGTTGTTTGGGTTACTTTTCAGGGGCTTAAAGGCTGCTTTTGTTGAAGCCACATATTCTTCACTTGAGTCTCTTCAGTGTCCGATAGGTGACATTTTGTATTGTTTTTTTTTTTTTAATATACAATTGAATGGATGATTTTTTGACATCAGAAAGCCAAAAACAGTCCTGAAACCATGCTACCACCACCATTTTCCATAGAACATGTGTCCTATGGAAGAGCTATGAAGATTGACTATGTACATGCAGACCACTGCACCCCTAGTCACTTTTCCCCATGCCTTAAAACATCATGCTTCTTTATCCCATAAGTAGCCCTAAATCCTGTCCTCAGGGAGATGGATCTGAGACTTGTTCTCCAATCTCCACACTCGTGGCCATCTTGTGAATAAACTCTTTCTCTTATGCAAAACATGTTGTTCCATGATTGGCATACTGCATGGTGCAGTACAGGTCTAGCTTGGTAAGGTGTTGTCCTTCAGGTCAGGGACAGGGATGTTCATGGGGATATTCTGTGCAGCTTCGGGGCTTGAGCAGACTAAGCATCTCTATCCCTTGCTGCTGGGGACATGTCTGTTCTTTCTACCTTAAGAATCCATGCCAAAGAACTATGACCCAGAGAATGCTCACTAACAAGTGGAGCAAAGATTGGCGGCGGCAGGGTGGTGGTGTTGAAATGTATCAGAGGGGAGGCATAACAAGGCTCCTCTAGGGTCATACTGTCCCACATGATAGATATTTAAATTAAAATTAATTACAATGAAAAACTCAGCTCCTCAGCTGCACTAGTGTCGACAGCCCACATGGCTAGGGTTCCCACAGCACACAGAACATTTCTATCATCACATTAAGTTCTACCAGGCAGTGCTTTCATGAATGCTGGGAATATTGCTTGGGTCTGTGTGGAGAGAAGCAGTTGTCACTCAGATCAATGATGATTCTTTTGCCACCGTGAGGGAGGAAAGGCCGTCTTACCCATTTGTCGTCAGGTGCTCTTCTCTCCCGTACAGACAAAACTCTAGGTCATGCCCCTTCAGCTCTGGCTGTTCCACACACTTTGAGTCATTTTCTGGACGGAAGTAGCCAAAATCACTGCAAAAGTCAACAGATAAGGTAGCTTTCAAAGTCACTGAAAAACAATAGCAATGGAGATTTTATGTGGAACAGTGGATGGCTAATATTCCAGTCAGGAACATTCCAGACTAGAAGTTATCAGCAGCTCAGGAAGGTCTGCCACAGCTCTCTCTGGCCCATGGTATGGTTTGGATTTTATCACGTGGTCCCCATATGGCCCATGTATTAAAGGCTTGGTCCCTGCTGTGGCACTATTGGGAGGTGGTGAAACCTTTAAAAGGTAGGGTCTAGTGGAAGTCTTTAGGTCACCAGGGATCCCAGTTCCTTCTTCCTCCTGTCTCTTTTACTTCTTGGCCACGGTGAGCAGTTTTGCTGTGCCATGCACTTCTACCATGAAGTGCTGCATTGCCACAGGCTCAAAACAATGGGGCCAACCTACCATGGACTTCATACACCTTTTTTCCCTAAGTTGATCTTCTCAGGTATTTGTTATAGTGATGGGACTGACTGACTAAGTCCACTAATCCCCAAGACTGGGGGTCCTGCAGACAGCTCGAGTACAGGGAAGAGACTGAGCAGTGGGGTCAGGACCCACACAACTAAGACCAAGATGACAAAGAGGAGGCCACAAAAGTAGCATCAGATCTAAATGCAGGATCATTCAGCAATTCTTTTTTCCTTCAATCATCATTACATAGTGCCCTTGGGGATATATGTCAAGTTTTTCCTGTCTTCCCTCTTAGCTTCTTAAATTGTCCTTGCCTTCAACATCATCACCCCCTTCTTGCCTTCATTCCATCCCATCTCCTTCCAGTGCCTTTCATCTGCTCCCATTTCTCTGTTTCTTCTAAAGAAATAATGTCCTGCCTATTCCCCACAGCTGACCCTCCACGAGTGTCCTTGTTCTTGGTCCCACTCTTTCTATACACGCTGGGCCCTTCCTTCATAGACAGTATAAGAGAGGACAATCTTTCTCACTCAAATGGTGACTTCTCCTTAGTCTAAATATGTCTCTACTCTAGAGTTTACTTCCTTAACCTTCTCGCCTTTACTAGTTCAGTTTATAAAAAGAATATTTTCAGTTGGCCATATTTTATTAATTTACTTTTTATTCCATGCATCTTGGTCTCAATACTCTCTGCAACCTTGAAAATGAGTATCTGAGGCTCCCCCAAGGCCTGCTACCATCCAACCCAGCAGAGCCCTCTCTGGTGTCATTCACTTTGGCCACCTGTCCTGTGGCATCCAACACACCATGTGCCCCTACCTACCATGACACCACTGCTTCCTCTTCTGTATTCCTAACCCATAAACACAGGCTTTTTCAAGGTTCTATACTTCACTTTTTTATTCTGTGTCTCTTTTTCCTCAGTGACCATAACTATTTTTGGCTACTACTAAACTTCCAGGTTTTCCTTCTCTCTTGGCTCTAATTTTACATTTCCAAGTGCCTGTTAGATATTGCCACTGAAATGTACTCCTGAACCCCAAAGGAATAATACGGTCAAAACATAGCATGCCTTCTCCTCTGCTAACACCCTCTTGTCACTTCACCATACTACCTTCCTTCCCACCATTTAAGTGGAAAATTTGGTCTAAACGTTCTCCACCTGGCCCCTTCTTACTTATCATGCTTGCTCTGACTTCCTCTCCCAGTCAGAGGGGGCACTATCATCCAGCACACCACTCCTTGGTCTAGCTGTTGGGTGTCTATGCTTACAGCAGTCCAGGGCTTTATCGACCACTTTCTTACCAGATATGCATAGTTAAATCCTACCATTTGTCAGTGCTCAGCTCAAATGCCGTCTCCTCAATAAAGCCTTCTGTGACCCATCTCCTTCCAGTTCCAGATGGTGTCTTCTCTCCCTTATTTACACCCTCTTAGCATTTACTACTTTCTGATTTGTGTCATGATTATGTACATCTTACCAGGAAACTGTATACAAGCCCTTCCATTAGCACTTTGTGTTGCCCTGCCCACAGCAGGCACTGAATGACTATTTAGGGAATATACAGATGCTGCTTGTACTTCAAGTGTTATCTGAAGAGTATTTAGGGGACAAGGCAGGGACAAAAGATGCAAAAACATGCCACCCCTCTTAATAGCAGGGGGAAATCTCAGGTAAGAATTTTAGGTAATCAACCCAAAATTTTAGGGAAACTATCCTCACTCATGTGAGGTCCAAGGTGTGGGCACTAGAGCTGTGATGCTGGCTTCATGTCTCACTTCTCAGGGCCAGTCAGGCACAACCTCTCATGAGGACAGTGCTGACTACAGTTAGTGCTTAATGTCAGCTGCTATCATTACCACTATATTACTATCAAATATAACATGCTCTCAAGGAGTTTGGGTTTGTTGGTGGAACCAAGCATCGTTAAAGATGGTAAGTGCTAGAATGCAGGTACTGCAGATGTCAAGATCAGGGAAAACTGGGAGAGGCTTTAAAGTGGTGCTATCTGAGCTACTTAAAAGCCAAGGAGGAACTCCCTTGATGTGGGGTCAACAGGGGAATGTGGACAGACTATTCAGGCAGAGAAGGCACCATGCACAACTACATGGAGCACTGCAAAATCATGGCAGACTTGGAAAACAGCAGCAGCTCAGGGAAAGGGCCTGGCATATGTGGAGTCAAAGATGGGACACAGCTTCCAGAGTCTCACAGGTCTGTCCCATTCTGACTCCACAACAAACTCTAGCCTGACTGCAACTCCAGAAGTGATCTGAGTGATGCTTTTCCTGTGGAAATGGAGACGGGAGGGCCCTTGACCATTCCACATTCAGATGTGAACCAGGGGAGAAGCTGTGTGGAGTCAGACCTGTATTTCCCTCAAACTTGCATTCTGTGGTTACCTGCGGTTCAACGGAAGACAGTGGGGGAGGAGGAGGACATGCCTGCTTCCTTGCCTTTGATCCAAGATCTTTAGGATCCATTTTTACCTCCTGTCAGCATCTACAGTTGTAGCAAGTTCCACTAGATTATTACCTGTGAGGTGAAGCTGTTCCTCCTTTGGGCCCTGGTTTACCTCTTTTAAACAACACAGGAACTCCTTGCCTTTTTATGAAAGCAACTAATCTTATGCCAGCCAGGTAACTAATTCTTTCACCCAGACAGTCCTGAATTCTAGGAAGTCCACCTTGATGGCCTCTAAACCTCAATGGGACATAAGGACCATGAACATATTGATGTTGCCTCTAGTCTCTCAGGACCAAAAAACATCTGTCTTTAGTCTTGCACGGATGCAAAACCTAGTGCCCTACCTGCTGCACTCAAACCGTCAGGCTGCTCTTTAAAGTCCAATTCCTCTTTGCTCCTGTACCACTTTCCTTGGTGTTTTTCTTGCCATTTTCTATACATTGTTTTGTTTTATTCTCTTCCTTTTTATATAACTTTTCTTCTTCCCACCATTGCCAAGTTGGGAATTCTGGGGTGCTTGCTGGTTCTGCCCAATGATTAACTGTCCAGTATGATAATATTATCTGTCCAATTATTATCAAGTTTGGTTCCCTCTCTCTGTGCCTCAATTTCCTTGATAAGAAGCAGCAGTTCTCCACTCTTGGGGAAAAAAGATTTCAGTATTTTTTAGCCCTATAAGACAACTGTCTTTCACCTCCTCCTACACGGGACAGGGGCTGACAGAGGGATCTGAGGAGTGCTGATACCAGAGGAAGTCCTCCAAGGAACAGGGACAGATGGATGGCTGCTTGGTTACAACATAGTCTCGACCATTCTGACAGACAGACGACTTGCGCAGCCGTAGGTACTGTTCCTTATAGCCCAAAATGCAGCCATCTTCATAATCCTCAGGGTCTGTGGAGTGTGCCAGCCATATGGTATAGTCCTTCTCTTCACCTAAAGGACAGACAGATGGTTCAGGAAGCTGCATTGCACAAGGTCACCAATGGGAGGCAGCTGCCAGGCTATGGGAAGAATGAGGGAGGGAAGGCAGGAATGTCTGCCTCAATTTATTACTCCAATTAGGAATTACAAACAAAAAGTTACATTAGTCTATAGCCTACTAGCAATTGCATTCTTGCATGCCAAAAGAGGATTCTTTCCATCTCATCATCCTTTCAAGAATTAGGAAAAACTTTATTTGTTTTGAAGTGGGAAGCTGGACAAGGGAGCTCTAGAGTTCCTTCCAAACTAAGAGGCTGCTGTCTGTCTTGCTCACCTATGCCCTCAGTCTGCAGGAGCTGTCAGAAGTGAGTAACCAGAAGTTTTTCACTCCTGGGACTCTGCTCAGAATAAAATACTGAACAGCCTAAAGCACAGGTTTGATTTTACTAAATTAGTTTGCTTTGAACAGAAAGGAAAATAGCCTCTTTCTAGACTTCTATCTCCAGATGATTGGCTCTCAGATGAGGACTGCTGACAGCAATATTTCTGGCTCAGTATTTCATATCATCCACTCCTGGAAAACAACTCTAAGGCTGCAACCTAAAGACTGTGGATTAGGTTTTTATCCTTCAGGATATGAAGACCAGGACAGAGTCTGTTAGAGAGCAGGTGCTTAACAAATCTCTTAATGACGCTAAACTTTAGGGATAACCGTTTGGATCACCTGCTACGGAGAAAACTACTAAGCCAGCTCTTTTACAGTCTCTTTAATGAATTTAGATGATAATGGCCCTCCGGGTTTAAATCACATTTAAACACCCTGTAGAAAAGTTAAGTAGGGCTGGGTTTGTGGCTCAGGGGTGGAGCACTTGCCTGGCATGTGTAAGACACTGGTTCAATCCTCAGCACCACAGAACAAACAAATAAGTAAATTATTGTGTCCATCTAAAACTAAAAACATACTTCAAAAACAAAAGTTAAGTAAAGTCCAAACCAAGAGCCCTGCTTCCTCAGAAGTCATCGAATTAAATAATACTCTGAAGAAATGGACTTATAACCCAGTCTAATAGGACCAAAATCCAACTAGAAGGTTTTGAAACTTTAAGTCTTTGATAGTGTTACACCAGCGTGTGACTACAGGTTGCCTTTCCTCCAGTGTTTTCTTTTATCTTTCATATTTCTTATCATAGCTTGGGTTTGGAATCTTTGGCACTGGGTCTAGGTCTGCTTGTGACACTTTGGGAACACTGTGCACTGGATTTTGTCAATATTTTTCTGAAATCATTTTCTGGGCCTCACCATGTCTTCTAGTGTGAAGTCACAGAATGCTGAATAGGTCAGTGTGGGCTTCACACTTGCCTACTGGCCATTCCAGTACCTCACCTGACATTTGAGCCAAAGGTCGTTGCATGAAAACTCTCACTTCAACATGTTGAGAAGTGACACCACCAATTATCTTGCAAACATTTTCCTCTAAGATTTTCTCTTTATAGTCCTACTGCATTTGACTAATCAAGGGTGGAAACCCCTGAAACGTCAATGAAATAATGTTTGTCACACACACGCATGTACTATTCTTATAAGCCAGAAAAAAAAAAAAAAAAGCTCATTAAAGGTACAGGAGATCTCTTCTCCAGTACAAAGCCACACTATCCTAGACAGTAGCCGAACCAAATGTGGCTGGCTGGTTTGAACTGAAATTCACTAGAAGTATAGTATTAACTGTACACTGGATTGCAAAGACTTGGAAGAAACGTAAAATAAATCAGCAATTTTTAACATAGCTTAAATTGATGATAATGTTTTGATATATGAAAATAATCCTATCATCAAAATGCATTTCACCTTTCTTTTTATATTTTTTAGTTGTAGTTGGACACAATAGCTCTTTATTTATTTATTTATTTTTATATGATGTTGAGGATCGAACCCAGGACCTTGCACATGCTAGGTGTGCACTCTACCACTGAGCCACAACCCCAGCCCATCTTTTTACTTCATAATGTAGCTAACAGGATCATTTAAATTACATATGTTGCCCTCATATTTCTCATGGACAGTGCTAGTCCCAAGAAGGAAACTGCTTTTCTAATGATTCCATTGCTTGATTAACCATGTGGAGCATCCTCCAAGATCCTTTCACACACACACACATTTGCTTATCCCAACTAAAAGACATAAAGCTGAAGAAGGTATTATTTAGGAAAAAGGCTGACATATTTCAGGTAGAAACTGTCAAAGGAGACACTTACAGTTCCTTTCAAGGATATCTTTAAAATCAATGGTGTAGGAGACCCATTGGCGGGTTAGTAAAGATTCTGTGAACCCCCAAATGCTGATATTCATAGACCTGGCTCCAGGTTCTGAAGCCAGGCCGGTGAAATAGATGGGCTCCTTGGTGAACATGTAGGTTTGCCAGCATTGACCTTCATCTGTGGAGAACCTGAAATCACAATTAGAGAAAGATCATGACAGAGGACCAACTTATAAAGGGATCCCCAACCAGAAGAAACCTTTGTATTTTAGGAGCTGGCTTACTGGCTGACAGTCACTTTCATTTTTAATGCCCACAGTTAACAGAGTAGAGAAAAGGATTCAGACAGAAGTAAATATCTTTACAAAAATTCTTTCATAGGCAAGACAGGGTAGTGACCAGGTGAGAATGGGCTTCTAAATTAATCATGTCAAATTATCTTACAAAAACTTGTACTTAGAAAGTCATTTCCAATTCAGAGTGCTTGAACATTTCCATATTTTTGTGGTGAGATTTTTTTTTTTATTTTAATGACAAAATGTGTTACTACAGGGAGTCAGAAGAAAAAACAATGCCATTTAGTCCGAGTTGTTCTAATCATAAGCCCTTCTAGAAACTTCTGTACAGTTCTGTAGAATGCAAACATTTGAATCAGGGTCCATGCCTTTTCCCCTTGATAAACTGAAGAACATTCCCACCGTTGCCCTGTAAGCAGATAGTGTGTGTGGAGTTGAGCTCATGCATACTTAATCACATTGATAGGACGGTTGCTGTGCTCAATGGCCACAATGATGCCTCCAGAATCCAAGATGGTATAATAGTGGGGTCCATTCAGCATCTTCGCCCAGGAGTAACCCCCATCGTCTGAGATGTACACATCTGGGACCATCACCGAGATGGCATCTCCCACGTTACCTGCAACATAATCCACTGTCTCATCAGCACAAATTGGCAATGAAACAGAGACGGATTTACTGACAAGGGAATTGGAATAAATATATTCTGATGATTTCCCAGCAGGCTTCTTGCAGTAGAAAAGAAGGCTATCAAAACTTGAGAAAGGAAGTTGTGTTGCTCCCTCAGTGGGCAGTCTATGAAAAGCCAAAATTGTTATAATGCAAGAAATGCTACCAAAGGAATACAAAAATCATCTGCAGTGGGCTTTGTTTTGTGTTTTAAATCAGGCTCAAAGGGCTCTGGCTGAGTTCAGAGTGCTCAGCTACTTCAGTTTGTGGGGTGCAGGGAGAGCTCCTTACCATGAGCAATGACTATGCCTACGGCGTTAGCCTCTGAGAGTGGTGCCATCGGGACGTTTAGTTTCTGAGAGATGCTATAGGAAGCATGAATATGAAGGCTGCACTGTGAAAAGAAACCAAGCTTATATTAAAACCAAAGGTTTGATACCCTTGCTCATCTCACAGATGCCTCATGAAGCTTAAAACTTAATTCAGACCTTGGTGGGGTGATCTTTTTTTAAAAAAAATTGTGGTAAAATACACATTTCATACAATTTACCATCTAAACTTTCATTTAAGTGTACAGTTCAGGAGTGTTAAATATATTCTCACTTTAGTGCAACCAATCTTTAGAACTTTTTCATTGTGTAATACTGAAACTATCACCTTTAAGCCCTACTCTACATTTCTGACTCCCTGCAGCCCTGGAAAGCACTAGTCTACTTTCTCAGCCTCATAGCAGTCATGCTGGCCCCTAACTAATGGCCAGCACATCTGTCTACTCTGTTTTCATTCAGCATTTTAACAAAACAAATTGTTAGCCTTCAGTTTTGTTCTTTAATAGACAAACAATCCATCGTATCTTGACCTTCCTGCAAGTTGTTATTTTCCAAATTCTACGTTTATTCCATTACTCTCACTCCAAACTTTGTATCTTAAGTTGCACACATCTAGTACAAAACTCCATTATTCAGAAGCTGAGCCCTGGGCACAGCAGATCAGAACAGCTGCTTTTCTCCAAGAGCGGAAACAAACCTCTTTTTTGTTCTTTGCGGTGGCATCACACTGGCTGTTTTCAGGCTTCCGCAGGTGCTTCCACCTTCCTCCTTGGTCGAAAGTGATCATGGTCTGAATGGAATTATCTGAACGGGGAAAGAATGATCATAAGTCCAGCACACTGGAAGCACCCAAGGGAAGTTAGTTTACCACTGCCTAACTCCCCTGAGGCCACATATCACAGTTCTAACCCTGAAGTCCCACAAAGCTTACAGAATGGCAGTGTTGATGAGTGACCAAGCAGCACTCTAACTATGAGATCTGAAGAAAGATCAGTACCTGAACAGCACTCAATTTATTCCAGAAATAATCTGGGGCTGACATCATCGAGAAAGGTCACTTTTATGCTATAGTTAGGGTGTTAAATGTCCCCCCATCTCCAAGGCCCATATGTTAAAGGTAGGCTACCAAACCATGGAACTATTGGGAGATGGTGGAAGCTATAAGATGTGGGGCTTCAGGGAGAAAGCTGTCATTGGAAATATGCCCTTGAAGGTGACATTAGGGCCCTAATCTCTTCTTCTTCCTCTGTTGGAAGTAAAGGGGTTTCCTACACCACATGCTCCCACTATGATGTGCCAACACAGGCTCAAAAACAATGGAGATAACTGACCATAAATTGAAACCTTTAAAACTGTGAGCCAAAACAAATCTTTTCTCTCTAAAAGTTGATTACCTTAGGTGTTTTGTCACAGTGATGTAAAGTTAACTAACACATTTTAACTCCTGAACCAACATAATTGGCTGATATCTATACTCTTCCCTTTTCTGCTGCCTTAGAAAGAAGAAAAATCTACCACGGGAAGGCATCTTAATTTTTCTTCACACAAGGCCATGACACCAGGCTTATCTTAGGGATTCTCAAGGTTTGAATATGGTGCTTAAATATTATTAATAATCCCTAATAATTGTCTCTCCACTATCCCTCTTACACCTTTTTCTTTTTTCCTTATAATTCCTCCCTTGTCCTCTATTTTCAATATTATAAACTGTTACAATTTAATCCAGACATAATATGCTTGAAGTTTTCTGAGGAATATCAAATAGAAAAGAAAGTGACAGAAGATTCACTTATTCAGCAAACATTTGTGTATTCACTATGTGAAAAATATTGCAAGCCTTTGGGAATATATTAATGATCAAAACAGACAAAAAGTTTCATGAGATATACATTTCTACTAGAGGGAGACAAATACTAGACATAGTAAATAATCGTACAGTATGTTGTAAAAAAAAGTGCTATAGAAAACATGCCACAGCTAAAGGTTGATTGGGAGTGAGCGGGGTGGCAGGGCAGACTGGAATTTAAAATAAGATAGTCAGGGAAGGGTTCACTCAGAAAGTAACACAAGAACCTTTAGCAATTTAGCAAAACCCTGTCTCCAAGTAAAAGGACCAGGAAAGTGGCTCAGTGGGTAAGTGTCCCTGGGTTCAATCCCTAGAATACAAAACAAGGACTGAGCAAAGATTTAAGGGAGAAATGCTCAGAGCAAATCTGTAATCTGACTGTGTGTATATTTTAGAATGGACAGGGGCCAGTGTGAGTGGTGCAGAGCAAATGAAAGAGGGAGAACTGGAGGTGAGGTCAGGGAGGAGATGAGAGCCACTGTCTCTTAGGACCTGGTAAGCCACTGCGAGGAGTTTACAAGAGAAAACAAAGAGCCTGCATCTTCTACCAGAAAATACATAAATAAAACTTTAAAAGCCTTTGTACTCGGGAGTAATATGTTTATTTGCATAACTGAACCTTGGTAAAGGTGAACCTTGTAGAGCCCTGGAGTAAAACATTAGAAGAATCTTGGCTGGTTATTGCTAAGCCCTTTACAAGAAGAACAGAAGTGGCTCAAATTAAGGCTTGTTGGTCTAAACCTTCCAATATGGAAGACTCACTTTATAAACTAAACAACATAGACTCCAAAGCATCTTTCTTCCTACTTGCCACTGCTTTGCTCTCTCCTAGTTCTATTTACAACTTACTTAAAATGGGGAGGCAAAATTTACATGGGTAGGCTTGTTGGCTAGGCAAGCACATTATAACCTGGGACCACCAAATCCTATCACATTCAGCAGAAGGAGCTGCAGGAGCAGAATAACTGCACCAGGACTTACCTTCTGAGAGCGTGCTTGTTATGTAGACCCCGCGGAGGGAGGTCACATTCGTGAAGTCGGTCTCTCCACCTGTGGTAGTGTAGAGATGTCGATCCAAAGACTTGGAGTACACAATGCCCCGATCATCAGAGGTAAAGATTGTGCCAAATCCAGTATCTAAAATAGGTGGAAAAAAACAAACAAACCCATTAAGTCTCAGGAGGAAACAGAAAAACAATAGTCTAGTCATATACAACTACCTGACTGATCCAGTAGTCAGGCAATTTGCCAATTCTCTCTCTGCACAACAGAGACGCAGACCTAGAGAGCTAATTAGGTTTGATGCTCAAGATCTTCATGATCAACTTTAGTTTTAGTACTCTGCTAAGTATCTGGAATTTGAGAATGCTGAGTTTATTGAATGACTTAATCAGATTATATAGAGAAGTTCTTCCCAGAAGTATCACAGTCAGTGACACTGTATTTGGTTCATATTTTACACATTTCTAAATCTTTAATACTCCAGAACAATGTTTCTCAAACTATATGGGATGAAGGATCAGTTTCTAAATTTTCACTGTCACAAACTGATGTTTTTGTTAAATATAACAGAAAACAATCACTAGAAAAGTGAAATAGACAAAAATAAGCTCCCAATTTTCTTTTATCATTAGCAAACAGACATAAAATGACTTTGTTAAATGGCTGTAAGACATTCTGAATGTTTCTAGTACTTACCTGGTAACAGAAGGTTTGCAAATCAGTAAGAGCTGAACTACTCTGCTCCAGAACACCTGAACATTCAAACTACAATAAACCACCAAAACAAATGGCCTTTTTAAAAGGCAAGATGTTACCTCTAGGACAGAGTAGTCAGTTAGGAAAAGTCAGCATGTAAAAAGGAAACCAGCTCAAAGCTTATATCTGTACACATTCAGGATGGGCTATAAAAATGCTCTTACCTCCAGGTTCATCTACATGCATGAATACCATGTCATCATTCGCTGCCAGAATAGAATAGAACTGTTCCTGACCCACAGAGGGAAGCTGGGCCATGCTCCATGTGTCCCCTTGATCTGTTGACACATGGATCCTTCTTGTTGTATCCTGGAATAAATATGCCAATATCTATCTTTTAAATTTTCTGTCACGATGCCATGTGCATAGATGTGAACAGGAACATTTTTTAATAATTATGATAATTTACTTCCTCAACTGCAATGAATGATCATAGTACCAATTACCAAAGCAATTTCTAACCCCTTCTAGCCAATGGGAAAATCCATTCTAAGTAAGGTTATCTTGCTTTTGCTTTGGCTCTTTCACTCTGGCATGATTTCCCAATTTCGGATATTCTATATCCTTCAAAAGAGCTAAGGGTTGGATGGGACTATCAATTGGCTCTATAGCCATTTGGTTATACTTGCTCAAATAATTCTTAAAATGATGATTACTACATAAAAGTTTGGTCCCTTTGAAGGGCTGGGGATATAGCTCATGGTAGAAGGCTTGCTTAGCATGCACAAGGCTCTGGGGCCCTGGGTTTGATCCCCAGTACCTATCCTCAGTACACACAACACACACAGTCCCTTTGAGATAGTCTTAGCATAACCCAAAGAATTAGATAATTAAGAATGTAGAAAATGGAGATGAAACCCATGCTTGGGAGATCACAGGGAAGTCAAGATGGGACATGCTTTTAAGGAGCTGTCTCAGAATAGCCACGTAATGAAAGGAACATGTATGGGCTGGAAAGAGGCCAAGGAGGGTCAAGAATTACTATAAGGAAACTAGCCACAGAGTATTCACCTGGTGAAGGAGTCTGTTAAGAAGGTAATTCAAGCCTCTCTGATAAATAGCTTAAAATAACTAGTAGATTCAATGAGCCATGGCATGAGAATTAAGCTCCAGGCCTCTATATTGTTAAATACTTTTTAAAGTTCAGTGATAAGTACATTTAACTTATTTGACTTACACTGAGATGTCTAATTACTTTGAATCCTATTCTCATTGTCACATATAGAAACTAGAGTTACAAAGCATATAGCAGAATTTTAATTCTGTAAATAGCAGCACAGGAATCTAAGAAGGCTACTGCTGGAATCTGACAGTTGATTTCCACCAGGGTTCTACCACTGAGTGACCCTAGACAAGTTGCTCAATTTTTTCACCTATAAATTTGAGATAAGAGTATTAGCTCATAGGATTATTGAGGAATTATTACAAAATTGCTCAAGTTATCTGTACTTACTATGTCAACTTCCCCATCTCTAGCTATCTCTGAAGTGAACTGAATCAGTCTTTTAACCTTACTAGTCCAACGAAACTACTTTTGTCAAGGTCACCAACAACCCATTTTGCCAACTCAAGTGGGAAATTCTCAGCATTCATCTAACTTGATACATCACTTGAATTTAACAAAGCTGATAACTTCCTTCCCCTGAAACACTTTCTTTCACACTATCCTGACTCTCCCCACCTTACTGGTCCCTCCCTCCCAGTCCTCACTGCTAGATTCTTCCTCTTTCCAACCTTCAGTATGGGGATGCTTGGGCTAACTCAGTCCTCCCATCTCTTCTCTACTTACTCATTCCTCCAGAAGGGATATTCTAGTCACATGGCTTTAAATATCATAGAATTTTAGGTGATTCATGCTTACTTGACATTTCTACCTAGATATCTAATGGGCATATCATACCAAAACTGAGTTCTCCCACAGACCTACTCTTTCTGTAGTTTTGGCCATCTCAGAAAATGGCACTGCCATTCATCCAACTGCTCAGGCCAACTCTAAAGTTATCCTTGGTTCCACTTATTGTCTCAAAATACACATCTAATTCATCAGCAAGTCTTATTAGCAATATATTTAAAAAATATATCCACAGTCTCACTGCTTCTCTCCTCACCCACAGTTAACAGCCTGTTCCTAGCTATCACTCTTGCCTCCTCCCCACACACAGAATACATGTGTGCTACCCTGCACATATATATGCTCACATCATTCTCTCACACACAACCCTTTTGCAACTCCTCAGCACATGAAGAGTAAAAAACAAAACAGTGTCTTCACTGTGACCTAGAAAGGCCCATATGATCTGGCTACTGGCTCCCCTCTGACCCATTCCCACACACTCTGGGCACACATTCCCCTGGGCCACACTGCTCTCTGCCCCTTTTCTTCAATAGATGGAGCATGCTCCAGCCTGATGGTCTGTCCCCACACATACTGTTCCTCCCCTTCTCCTCCCAGATGTCTGTATAGTCCTGTGCTCACACATTCAGATCCTAGCCAGCCCCCCTTGACCACCCAGTATGCAACACTGCCTTGTTTCCTGCTGCTGTGTCCTTACTCTGCTTTAGACTGTTTTGCAGATTTAATTAACCCAATACACTTATTTGCTTAGTATTTGTTTCCCCACTTGAATATAAGTTCTGAGAGCAGGAAATTGATCTATTTTGTTCACTGCTATATTCCTAAGACCTAGAGTAGAACCTAGAACATTGTAGATATTCAACTGATGTTACTTATTTTTATTTTATTACTATTATTGAATGGTATTTTGTTACCATGATTAAGTAGATGGCTTTTTTTTTTTTCCAGATATCCACGTCTGAATAAAGTTCAAACACTGATCTATATATCCCCCAAAACAATACCAAAATTCATATGGTAACAAAAGACCAAAGTGCAGAGCAGCCCATGAGGGGGATCAATCAGTCTCTGTAAACAGAATCACCCCAAACTTTATAGGGATATTAAATATTGCAAAAATAAGAAACTCTGTTGGTACTAAGCAGTAAATGGATCTAGGAGAGGCATATTTGCAGAAATGTCAGACCTCAAAGTGAAAAGGCAATACCCACCTTATCAGCCATCACAGAGGCAAAAAGGAAACGTCCCCCAAGACCAAATGAGTAGATTTTCACACCAATGGTTTTGAAGCTTTTTCCCAAGTCTGAAGTTCTCCATAATTCCAGTGCCCCAAGATCAGCTTCTTAAACAAGACAAAATATTAATTAAACTTTCATTTACTGATGAGCCCAGATCAAAACAGCTGCTTTAGAATTGCTCTTAATTTAATAACAAAGTATTCTAAATCCTATGCATGCTAATTAAGTAATAACACAAACAGGATACAGCATCAGGTTCAGGGAATTCACATTTGGGTTTTATTTTGTATGTGAAATGTTTTATGCTGGATGGAAAGATAGAATTTTCTTAATTCCTATACAATATCACATAAAAACATCACAGCCACAGCATCCTGCTCTTCTTTCTCCTCCTTGTTCTCCTCCTCCTCCCCCTTTTCAGTGCTAGGAATTGAACCCAGGCCTTGCACAAGCTGGGCAAACATTCTACCACTGAACTAGATCCCCAGCCCTTTTTATTGATTTGTTTGTTTCTGTTTTATTTTGTTTGTGGTATTGAGGATTGAACCCAAGACCTTGCACATGGCGAGGCAAGTACTCTAACACTGAGGTACACCCCCAATGCTTTTTATTTTTTATTTTGAAACAAGTCTTTCTAAGTTGCCCAGGCTGTCCTTGAACTTGTGATCCTCCTGCCTCAGCCTCCCTGTAGCTGGGATTACAGGTGTGAGCTACCATGCCAGGCCATTCCATGTTCTTTTGCAGAAATCATGATGCATTTCAATTTGCTATTGTTTATAGCCTAATATTTGCTTTATATAAATACACTGCTAAAATTAAGTATACTATCTCCATGTTCAGCCTATTCATGAACACACACACAGGGATGCATGCTGCTGGGGTCTGAATCCAGGACCTAGTGCATCTAGGCAAGTGCTCTACCACTGACTATTACCCCCAGTCCTAGCCTACATTTTTATTTGACATGGGCACAGAATAGTAATTTGGTTGTACTTTCAAGATTTTAAAAATCACTAACAGGTCTCTTTAGCTATCAAAATTTCAGGAGAATGGAATAGTCTTGTTTCTATCTCACACAATCCAGAATATTCTACCATGAATGGATACCAGGACACCCTTTGTGGAACTAAAACATACTTACTGCAGGAGACATTTGCATAGGTAGTAAAGAAGATGGTGTTCTCTGACCCCCTATATAAGGCAAAGACAGGGGAGAAAAAAGGGTTAAGGCTGCTGATGGGCTATATCAACCTTAGTCACAAAGCCCATGGCAAGTCTAGTAAATGTCATCCACAGGCACCAACTGACAGCCTTCTCTGCTACTGTGCACCCATTTCTCCTGTGGTCTACCAAGATCCTTAGGGCCTTGCCCCATGTTTCTCCTAGACCATTATGGGGGCGCATTCAGGCAGCCAAAGTAATCTGTTTAAACTCTCCAAATTTGCCTCTTCTGTCATACTGTTTCCCCCGTAAAATGCTTTTCTCTCACATAACCAAACTGTACCCTCACAAACTCAATCTTAAAAATCTAGCTCTCCTATGAAGCGTTCTTGTCATTCTAACTGGAAGGCTTCTTTGATGCAAGCTTCTAGAGCAGTGATTTCTCAATCAGGGTCTATTGTAGCATAATATTTGCTTTACATGAATACACTGCTAAAATTAGACATTTGGCAAAGTCTGGAGACATTTTTGGTTGTCACAACTGGGGTGGAGGGTGGGGTGGGCAGGAGTTGTTACTAACATTTAGCAGGTACAGGCCAGGGGGGCCACTGCACATCTTATAATGGAGCAGAGCCCTCAATAAGGAATTATCCAGCCCAAAATGTCACCAGTGACACACTTGAGAAACTGCCCTCCGTATCAGCCACTTGACATTCACTGTCTCCCAGTTGGCTATGTTAATAGCACGGTGTGTGCCTCATATCTCTCCTTCATACTCATTGGTTTCTTCAGGTCAGGTACTAAATTTTATGCTTTTATTTCCTCTCAGAATCCAGTTTGATGATTTGTATGAGCTAACTAATTTAGTTCTTTCATTTCAAATAGACAACTAGGTCAGAGGTTGAGTTACTTAAAATGTAACTTGCAAAAGGAGTTTGCAGGGAACTAGATTCAGACCCTAATGTTACTTAGAGATGACTACCAGCAAAAGTTGCTGGGTTTGAGCCTGTTGTCTCAGGACTTCAGGTTGTAAACTCCTAGACAGCAAACATCTAAAAGGTGAGTATCTGTTATAATATATTTAGAGTCAAACAAAGTAATGAATTATAAAAGTGAATAACCTTGCATAGAATTCAAAATATCATTTTAACGGAACTTTCTGATTTTAAAGATGAATTCTAATGATCAAATTTTCTATACTCTTAAACATGTGCTACATTTCTAAATCCAACAGAATTGAAAACATTTGTTAACTTAATTCCCTTAAAAATCACTTCATTCCTGACTACATCTAATATGGTACAAGCAAAATTCATTAAAATGCATTAAATGAGAGCAAATGTGGTATGTATACCACAGTGTTGCTGTCAAAACCTCACTGAATGAGCATTTCTGGAAAAGGTCCACTTTTTTAAGTTTTAATTAATTTTGGTAGACATTTCAAATGTGTATTACACATTTTCCTGATTGCCTAAGTAGAGTACATTAAACTCTTTCTTGGGATTATAGTTCATCATTAGGAACATCAATCATATCAAACCATCATACAGTGTCCCCATTAGAAGTTACTGAAGTCTGTATCCTTTCTTGATCCAGCAATGAATAATTTCATACTGTTACAAGCTCTAAGTTTTGTCTGTTCTCTTATAGTTTTTATGCCTCCTTCCAGCTCTCAGGCTATAATTCTAATGCTGTCATGTGCTTGTTGCCAGCAGCCACTAGCTCATCTCTGGCAGCAATCTGCTACAAACTGGGAAAACAGATTAACAATTTTGTTGAAATTAGTCAAAGGAAAAAAAGAGAGACACTCTCAACAAGAGTCTGAGCCTAATCAGAATTTTGGAGGTATGAAGGCTGTTAGTTAACTCTTTCCTTTTTTTTTTTTAGTTGTTGATGGACCTTCATTTATTTACATGCGGTGCTGAGAATTGAACCCAGTGCATCATATATGCTAGGCAAGCACTCTACCACTGAGCCATCACCCCAGCCCTGTTAATTCAACTCTTTCTCAACCACCCCCAACATTCCCCAAACAAATATTTTGCAAAGTAAAAACAAAAGCCCAGGGAGGTTAAGTCACTGTCTAGCAGCAGAGCCAGGTTGGAACCAAGGTGACTTGACTCTCAAATAAGAGCTCCCTCAACCTCGACATCTCTATGCAGGCACCTGATGGGAGCATTGCATCCTGCCAAGAGAAGTGAGTACATTCTAGTGAATGGACAGTGTGCCTTTCACAGTCTGAAAGCTCGTTCAGCTTTCTTCCTGATTACTTACTACGTTCTACATAACTAAAATGAATTCCTAGACAAGGGAGCGTAAATCTGGGTGCAGAGAAGCATTTATCCCCAAACTAAAGTTGTCACAAGATGCAGAATAAATCCTTTGCAGGCAGAAGCTACTCAATCACGTGCTTTGTTTATATTCTAACATTTAGTCAGACTAAGTCTTCTTTTCCAGCACAATAGAAGTTCTTCCAGGTTGAGGTCTGTGTCATACCCTTTTCTCCCTTATGGCACCCTGAAGAGTACTTGGCACATAGTAAGTGCTCAATATTTATTCATGTGACTTTTGGCAGCATTATCAGAAAAGGTTTAGGGCTATGCACAGATGGAATCTTCTGTTACTCACCATTTGGCCAAACACACTGATTTGTGGATTTCTTCCCATTTTCCCCCAAAATTCTTGGACACCCACAGGCCATTCTGAAAGATTATAAATGACTTATCAAAATTCCAGCTTTATCCTGTGCAGCTGCTTGTATGACTTTTAATAATTCATATCTGATCATACAGGACAGTAAACACACACTCTGAGGCTCCACCAGAGCTCCCTGAGCTTCACAGATACATACATGGCTCATCTGGGCTCCTTCAGGGTCTTGGGAGTTCAGAATAACAAATACATATGAAGCTCCCACTGGATGTTACATAAGGGATACAAAGATGAATAAGACCCACTCCCTACTCTCAAGGAGCTCACAAGGGGCATAGATAAGAAGGTCAATGCCAGGTGGTAAATGACATGGAAACAGCCTAGTGTAGAAGTGGGGAGGGGAGGAACACTGCAACAGAGAGTTTCCTGAAGAGGAGAGTCGCATCCACTCTGAAATGAACAGTATAACCAAAATAAGGCACACATGGAGATGAGATGCTGCTGCACAAAGCTAGATCAGTCTTGCAAAGGCAAGGAGGTACTAAAGCACTGCAACACGTGTAGGAAGCTCAAAGCCATTGAACATCAACTTGCATAGGTGAGGAAATGCAGAGCTAATGCTCTGAAGAAAGGTGAGGCAAGCTCACGGAGAGCCTCCTTGTAGGTCAGGCACTGTTAAGTGAGGTGCTCTCCTCAGGAGGAAGACTCTACAGTTTCCCTTTCTTAAGTGGCATACTTGGATGAGAATGGGAAAGATGGATTTCAGAAGGTCCCAACTGAAAGTAGGACATGTGATAAATAACTGTCACATTAATTAATTATTTTATTTTTTAATTTTTAATTTTTTTTATTTTTTAATGTTTATTTTTTAGTTTTTGGCGGACACAACATCTTTGTTTGTATATGGTGCTGAGGATTGAACCTGGGCCGCACGTATGCCAGGCGAGCCTGCTACTACTTGAGCCACATCCCCAGCCCAACTGTCACATTAATTTAATTAAGAGTTAATAGGGGGGCTGGGGCTGGGGCTGAGAGGTAGCACACTTGCCTGGCATGTGTGAGGCACTGGGTTCAATTCTTAGCATCACATATAAATAAATAAAATAAAGGTCTATCAACAACTAAAAAAAAAAGAGTTAATGAGGGCGGCTGGGCATGTCTATAATCCCAGCAGCTCAGGAGGCTGAGGCAGGAGGATCAAGAGTTCAAAGCCAGCCTCAGCAAAAATGAGGTGCTAAGTAACTCAGTGAGACCCTATCTCTAAATAAAATCTAAAATAGGGCTGGAGACGTGGCTCCGTGGTCAAGTGCCCCTGAGTTCAATCCCTTGTATCAAAAAAAAAAAAAAGTTAATGAGGATTTCAACCATAGCCTTGAGGAATAGGACCAGTAGGAGTTCAGAAGCTAGAATGGAACTAGATGACTTTTCCTGTAGGGTAGTACAGGTATGGGTGTGTATGTGGGTATATGTGGGTGTCCTTAAGCACATATTATCTCAAAGTCAATCACTTTGGGTTTGGGGTTGGGGTCTAGAATGCATTGTTGTATCATTAACTAGCATAAGGATTAAGGGAAGAAGAGCACACCTGAGAGAAGGACATGGAAGAAGTTCAGTTTTGGATTGAGTTTGAGGTATCTGTGTAACATACAGCTAGAGATACCAAGGAGGCAGCAAGATAGGACTCTGAGGCCCTACAGGGAAGCCAGGGCTAGAGATAAGTAATAGTTAAACTGTAAAAGTGGCAGAGATTACTACTCAGAGCAAAATGAGCAGGGGGCATTTAAGGGTAGTTGAAAGGTGTTTAAGACCAACAAGGAATGACCAGAAAGGTAAACAAAGGGAATGATGTCACAGAACCAAGCCAGTGGGATTCCCCAAAGGAGGGATGGCCAATACTTTGAAATGCAGCAGACTCAATAATATGAAGACTGACAATGTCAGTTATATTGACAACGTGAGTTAATTGAGCTCACCTTCAGTGGAGATAGGACAGAGATGTTCTGGTACAGATGAAACTGAATGGGGCTGATCTAGACAGAGTTAATCTTCTGTGCTCCCCCACCCTCACCCACCATTCTTCAACGTCCCCCTTCCTTTGGTAATAATCACCTCATAGCATTTCTAATTTACCCTTAATTGGAAGAAATTCCAGGCAAAAATACAGATTGTTTCTGTCCCTTTTTGAGGATTGCTTTTTTTTTCTTTTTAATGTGCTTGAGATACTTGGAGATAAGAGGGTCAAAGGGGAGATCCATTGTTCTGTCTATTTTCATGGAGGTCTGTTAGCTCCATTTAATTTCTCTAAGGTCTGAAGCACCCCAGAAAGCCCTTCCTCTGGCCTCCATCAGCTAAGTATAAATAAGACCCTGTTGGAGCACCTCTCAGCCTCATCTCTACTCAAACATCTCCCCACGAAAGACTCAGCACCTGGACCTCTCTTCCTGGCCCTTCATCCTCTCCATGTCACCTTTGCCCTGCCTGCCTAGTCCACAGTTGGTTGTCTTGTTTCTGCCCCAGAATAGTCAGCACAACAATGGCTCTTAAATTTTAGAGTGCAGGCCCTGCTGGGGAGCTAGATAAAAACATGAGCCACTGCAAGCAAAAGTCACAGGTTTCTTGTATCTGAGGCTTAGGGATTCGCATCTTTAACCCACTTGTCAGATGCTCCCATCGGATGCTGCTGCTCAGTAGAGTATACCAAGCCTACTTATACCATATACACTCTACTTATATACCATGTAAGTCTACTTACATACCCTATATACATACTTATATACAAGATATACTTATATAATCAGTAGACTATACCAAGTCTACTTATAGACATATACACTTATAAGGAAAGTCACATAAGCGTAAAGTGTAATTTTGACCATCATAGTCTGGCCACTCAGCCACTTGGCACCCTCAACTCCAGGTCTGGAGACTGGTCTTCCATGACAGCAAGAGCTGAATGTGTTCTTCAAGGAACTTTCAGAAGACAGATGGGTCAATGAGTGAGGGACACTGGTTTCTGGGGATAGTATAGGAATGTGGTAGGGGGCTCAGGGAGTTGAGGATTTGGATATTTAATACATGAAATGTCAAAGGCAGAAATCGATACATAACCAAAGAATTAGCAAAAAAGAAAAAAATATAAAAAGATGTGGTTTGGTCACCAGAAAGGAACAATAAAAATACTAGGAATTTGATGATTTACACTTATCTCTGGTAGCACAACAAGAATTAAATTATTTTTAGTTCATTTCTTCAATAGCACATATCTATTTGCTTAAAAAATTATAGTGGCAACTTACATTATCCTTATCTGAATAGAAAGCAAACAGAAATCATATTCTTTATCAAATAGGGAAGAAAAGTAAAAAATACATATTTTGTGTGTAAGACAACACTGGGAAAAAGGCCAACATAAAAGCATTAGCTACCATGTCCTTTTAAGACAGTCTATTCTTAAAGTATAAAAATGGCAACAGGCAAGCCAAGCTTCTCAACTGGACTCACCTCAGTGCTGAGGGCTAACAGGTAATCAGAATTATTGGGACTATACATCATCTGAGTCAAAGGATGAAAAGGGAGATCTGTCTGCACGAAGTTCTTTGCAAAATCTGATGACCTGAAGATTCTTCCTCCACGACTTCCTCCAGATACCTCTGCTGTTAATATCACCTGACCAGGAAGAGAAAGATCAAATTTAGCAAAGAAAGTTCTTGTGCCATTTTCACCAGACATTAAACTCTTTAGATTATATAAACATTTGTTGCTCCATTTGATTCCTTAAGTATTAATCTTAAAAAAAAATCATTCTGAATTGAGCTAATATATTATACCTGCAATTTTGAGCCTGATCAATTTTGAGATTTGTTAGTTTCCCAAGAGACTAAAATGTTGTCATGGGGAGTACACACATAATGCTAAAAACTGCAACAGAGGTAGAAAGATTTTGATGCATCTTAGGTACCGAAAAACCTGTGTGCTTAAGATTCTTGTGTGATTGATATTAAACTATGCCTAATTTTAAAAATTCAGCAATACTAAACTAAAATACAATATTGTGTATCTCTGGATTATTTTAATACTAACATCAGACAGCCCTGTATGTGTTATCAAGTACCAACTTTATAGATGTAGGAATGAATCTCACCTTTCCAGAGTTCTCAGGACCAATAGCCATGCCAAATTCAGTCCGAATAAAGGTGTTGTTGATAAGATTTGTAATATCCTTAAAGTTCTTCCCATAATCCTCACTGAGAGGAAGAAAAAAAAAGGCAAATTTAGAGTGTGGTGATGAATATTATTGGGTTCATATTTGGCTTCTTCTCTCTCTTATCATGACTTTTTCCAGTGGGGGCCTGATTAGTCAGAGAAAATCCAACTCCTTCACCAGTGAGGGGTTCAGGAATCAGGGAGTGACCTAGGTTGAGCCAGCAAGACAAAAAGGGAAAGTTTCATATATATATAATTATATATATATATATATATATATATATATATATATATATAATCATAATAATATATATAAATATATATCTTATTGTTTGTGAGTGGTGCTGGGGATTCAAACTTTGAAACCAAGGGCCTCATATATGCCAGGCAAATTCTACCACTGAGCCACATCTCTAGCCCCAAAAGAGAAAGTTTAAGAGTTTGAGGTCTTCTAGAGAACACATTTCTCCCCCAGAAAACCACTTGCTGAAATGGTCTGTTTCCCCTTAGACCAGCTGTTCTCAATCAGAGTGTTTCTGTCCCCCAGGGAACATTTGGTAATATATGGAGATATTTTTAATATTCAGGGTTCAGATGCTACTGGCATCAAGTGGTGGTCAGTGAGGCCACCAAATATCCTACAATGCTCAGGAAACAATCCCACAAAAACAAAAGAATCATCTGTACCCAATGTCAACAGCACTAAAGTTGAGGAGTCCCAACAATGTAGTACGTGAATGCAAAGCAAAAAATCACCAGTCATTTTGCAAAGGACGGGACAAATGAAGTAATTCTGGAATTCCAGAGAAGCAGAGCCTAGGACACCGGATTGCACCGGCCCTGAAGCCTGTTCTTGCTCTGTGTTTAGTTCTGTGAATCAATAATTCCCTTGTTATTCAAGCTAGTTAGAGTGGAATCTGCTAAATGCAGCCAAAGGCCTCCTAACTAAACTGTTAATCCATAGCACTTACTACAAAGCTGTAAATTTATAGTAGAGGTTTTGATGTTTTTCCCACTAAAAGTTACCATCCCTAGACAAAAGTTTCTAACATATGTAGCTCACAAATTACAGTTAGGAAAAAACAACCATCCTTAACTCTTGATTTCTCAAAGCTTTTCCCAAAAGTTCATTTCAACAATACCTTTGAGAGGTATTTGAATCCACGTTCAGGTTTTAAGAAATCTAACATGAACCTAAAGGGGTTCTGTATTTTGTTAAATGCTTTTTCTGCATATATTCTCTAGTTCCATCCATTTACCAAAATGCCATGATTTTATTCTCTTTTAATGCTGAGAAATAGTCCATATAAAAATATGCCACATTTTTAAAATCCATTCATCTACTGAAGGGCATCTAGGTTGGTTCCACAATTTAGCTACTGTGAATTGTGCTGCTATAAACATTGATGTGGCTGTGTCCCTGTAGTATGCTGTTTTTAAGTCCTTTGGGTATAAACCGAGGAGTAAGATAGCTGGGTCAAATGGTGGTTCCATTCCAAGTTTTCCAAAGAATCTCCATACTTCTTTCCAGATTGGTTGCATCAATTTGCAGTCCCATCAGCAATGTATGAGTGTGCCTTTTCCCCCACATCCTCACCAACATTTATTGTTGTTTGTATTCTTAATAGTTGCCATTCTGACTTGAGTGAGATGAAATCTTAGAGTAGTTCTGATTTGCATTTCTCTAATTGCTAAAGATGTTGAACGTGTTTTCATACATTTGTTGATTGATTGTATATCATCTTCTGAGAGGTATCTGTTTAGTTCCTTGGCCCATTTATTGATTGGGTTGTTGGTTTTTTTTTTTTTTTGTTTGTTTGTTTGTTTGTTTTTTGATGTTAAGTTTTTTGAGTTCTTTATATATCCTAGAGTTAAGTGCTCTATAAGATGTTCACGTGGTAAAAACTTGCTCCCATTCTGTAGGCTCTCTATTTACCTCACTAATTGCTTCTTTTGCTGAGAAGAAGCTTTTCAGTTTGAATCCATCCCATTTATTGATTCTTGAATAGAAGTCTTGTTAAGGAAGTGGGGGCCTAATCTGATATGATGAAGATTTGGGCCTACTTTTTCTTCTATTAGGCGCTGGGGGGCGGGGAGCATGGGAGGAATGTTGAAACTTTAGATAGGGCAAAGGGAAAGGAGGGGAAGGGAGGGGGCAAAGGGGTAGGAAAGACGGTGGAATGAGATGGACATCATTACCCTAAGTATATGTATGAAGACAGGAATGGTTTGACTCTACTTTGTGTACAACCAGAGACATGAAAAATTGTGTACTATGAATTGAATTGCATTCTGCTGTCATATATAACAAATTAGAATAAATAAATAAATTTAAAATTAAAAAAAGAAATCTAACATGAGCAAACAACTAGGAGCTGTCTGACAGGTTTAATGTTATGCACTGCTCTCTTAAAACAATAATGAAATGCCAAATCAATTTAAATTTGTTAAATTTAAGTATCTATCCATGAAGACCACAGTGCATTGCAAGTTAGTTGCCCAGAGAAAAGGTCTTCACTATAGAATTTATGACCTAAAAGGATGGTACAAATTTTGGTTGTATCTTCACTAAATAAAGAACCAAGAATAACAGAACGTGAGAGATGCAAGGAATCAAGGAGAACAGCTTGTTTGACTCCCTCACGTGAGGAATTGCAAGAGGAGACACTTTATCAAAAGTCAAATAGTTAATTAAGGACAAAATTGAAACTACAGTCCAGTTCTTTTAATTCTTAGCTTCAAACTAAAGACTACTTTAAATTAACTGTGAGGTTTTCCTCTCTTGCTAGGGCTTGTGATAGGACAGTAGAGATAGGTTGACAGGAAGCTGGAGACAGGAGGGACACGCCAATGTGGTTCAGGTCTCTGGTAGTATGTTAAAATAAACTGCATGTCTTTAAGTTGTTCAGATGACTCCTCCTCTCCAGAGGAAATTCCTGGTTACATAAAATAGGGATTGACACCACTCAATAAATTCCTACACAGCCCTAACTTTGGCTTTTGAATACAAGATCAGTTCTTACTCTCCTGACAGCCAGCAAGAGATGTGCATAAACAATTCCCAGCTCTGCAGGATCCACAGCAGCAGCAGCAGCCCATACAACCTTCCCAGGGGCTGCAGCAGTTTGTCTATTAGCATTTACAAATCTCCCCCCTTTGTGGCATCCCCAGGGAACCTCCACAAACCTGTTGGCAAGCCTGCTTGCTTTCTAAGAACTTGGCACAACAAACTCATCCTTGTGCCCTTCAGAAAAAGAAAGCAACATGAGTGAAATAAAACATCTGTGGCAACCCTGTGGTAGTCAGTTAAACAAATGGAGAACCTGCTGGGGGTTAAATAACTAGGGTTCTGTTAGGCTGCTTTGGGCCTGGAGAGATATAACATAGAAAATAAAGCTACATTCAAATAAAATGCTATCAGCATACATATGCATATGGCATGCATCGCAAAGTGGAAATCAATAATACACCCTGAAAACTGAATCTGCTTTTCAAACTCCATAAGATAATTAATGGAATTATACACAGCAGTCAAGTGATGAGTTAACAATTAAAACCCTGTGAAACCATCTTTTAGAAACAAATCTTTTTAATAACCATTTTATGCGTCAACCCCTAATATCTGCTCATTTAGATTACCAAAAATAATCGCTTTTGGTGTATCTGTGGTCTAAACATGCACATGAATTGCACATGTTTACAACTCGAGATAACAATGCTGAAACACAAATGTGTGAAATAGAGCTTGCCTTGGTCCATTTGGACTGCTATAACAGAATACCATAGCCTGGGTGGTTTAAAAGCAACAGAAATTTACTTCTCACACTTCTGGAGGCTGGGAAGTCTAAGATCAGGGTACCGGCAGACTTGGTGTCTGGTGAAGGCCTACTTCCTAGTTCACAAATTGCCATATTGTCACTTGTCACTGTAACATTATAAGGCAGAAAGGTCAAGGGAACTCCCTGGGTCAGTCTCTCTCTTTCAAAATATGTTTCTATTCTCTTTCCCACGGCCCCTCATACTAGAAATTGAACCCAGGGCTGTGTGCGCACTAGGCAAGCACTTTACCACTGAGCCCCGTCCCCACACCAGGGGTGTCTTTTATAATAGCACTAATCTTTTTAAAAAAAAAAAATTATGGAAATTATTTTTTAATACCTTTGTTTTATTTATTTATTTTTATGTGGTGCTGAAGATGGAACCCAGGGCCTCACAAAGCGCTAGGCGAGCATTCTACCCCTGAGCCACAACCCCAGCCACACCCCCATAATGGCACTAATCTTTTTTGTGAGGACTCTATCCTCACATCTTCATCACCCACCAAAGGCCCCCACCTCCTAATGCCATCACTTTGGGGGTTAGGATTTCTTTATTTCTTTCTTTTTGTGATGCTGGGGATTGAACCCAGGGCCTTGGGCATGCAAGGCAAGCACTCTACCAACTGAGCTATATCCATAGCCCGGAAGGTTAGGATTTCAACATATGAATCTGAGGGGGACAATTAGACTATAGTTTTCTGCCCTTGCCTCTGCCCCCAAGTTTATGTCCAGATTCTCATATGCAAAATACATTCATTATATCTCAAGAGCCTTTAAAGTCTTAACTCTTTCTAGCATCAAGTCTAAAGTATAAAATCCAAAATGTCATCTGAATATTATCTAAATCATATTATCAAAATGTCATCTGAATATTATCTAATCCAAAAGGGAGAAATGAGAAAGAATAGAGGAGATCCAGGAAAGTCCAAACCACAAGGCAAACTCCATGAGATATTAAGGCTTGAGAATAATATTCACTGGCTCAATGTTCTGTCCTCCAGATCCACTGAGCTGATGGATGACCCTGCACACATGGCTTTGGGTGAAAGCTATCTCTAAATGAGAAAGGTTACCCTTCCTAACCTAGCCCCAAATTTGAAACTGAGGAGGCAACCTTGATGATTTCTGAATTGCTTTGAGGGTCATTGTCTTGAAAAATAGTACCTATTAGCTGAATAGTTTTATGGTTCCATCCTTTCAAACTCAAGAAGTCCAGCAGCCTT